TCCTAGGGTTGGGGTGAGGGGGGAACTGGGAGGCCTGGGTGTGTGCTGCTCAAGGGCCACTTTTGGCGGCCGGGAGAAACCACTGCCCAGTGGCCGGCAGGGATTCAGGAATTGTTTATTGCAGTGACTCCTTTGCCAGTGCCTCGCAGAACAAACTGATAGGATTCTAAGTACGCATTTCTGTGCTCTATCATATTCGGTTTGGGTGAGGTCTCATTTTCCCCCCTTGCTGGACTGAAGTCACGACAAGGCACCCTCAGCCCTCTGCTCTGTCTGCCCCCCGCTGGGGAGTCCCCTGAAGCCTGCGGGTCACACCCTGCCTGCCCAGCCGCTGCCAGACCCACTCTGACAAAGTGGCGGGAGGCAGGCAGCCCCTCCTGGCCTGTCTCGGGGGACAGACAGGAAGAGGTTCCACAGGCCAGCAGATGCCTCACGGGCGGGGACGACCGAGGCCGGGCCATGGAGGACCTTGGCCTGTCTGGAGTGGGATTTGCACCCCCTCTTCTTTCTGTAGGAGAAGCCGGCTCAGGCGAAGCCACATGTCTGATGGCTCAGAATGGAAGGGCAACACCAGGACGGAAGTCAAGGTCACAAGAAGCCAGCTGGCTGCTCCAGTGGAACAGACCAGCGGTCAAAGGACAGAGCCACTTCCAAGTCTCTTGCCTGATAAGCAGAACTGACAAGGGAATTATGAAGAATTGGCTTTTTCATACCCACTCCCAAAGGTACCACCGCACCAGGATCTGTTCACGGTCAAACGGAGAGAAAGAACTCCCCCGAGAAGGGAGGCCGGTGTCTTCCTGCCTGAGCCGCTCCTAGATCCTCACGTGGTGAAGGGAGGCAGGCAGATGGTCCAGAGGCACCCAGCTGACAGAGCTAACGCAATCGATGGCCTATGTGTTCAGGGAGACCCAGCAGCAGGAAGGACACAGCGCTGACCTTGAGGCTCATTGTCAGTTTCACTCGCTCAGGCAGGCGAGAGCCCAGCACCGACATGAGACAGACCCGCTGCCACTGCCTTGCACTCTGTCCTTGCATCTGGCAGGCAAACAGTTACCTCCTCTGGGACCTCCTCCATTTGCCGCAGACGAACTGGGCAGCGGAGCGAAGGGAAGGTAGCATAGCACGTGGCCAGACCAGGCCGATTTGTACGCATGAATCATCATTCCTAGGGACTGCGCCTCATGCGGACACAGGGACAGACTGGCACCCCGTTGTTGTTCTGCCATTCCTGGCCCCCTTGAAACCACATCTGGACACTGAGACGTCACTGCAGCAGCACCTGGTGGCTCAGGTGCCGGTTCTGTGCCAGGTCCCACTCTAGACGCTCTGAGAGCCCGAGACACTGCTGTGCCTGTGACATGAGCATGAGGGGTGGGAGTCAGGTCGAACCATGATGAGACCTCCTGTTTGGCAGGGACAGAAATGGGGGACACCAGGGCGTGATTTTGTAACCTATATCCAAAATGCTGATGCTTTGGAGTAAAATTTGGTTTATCATATACAAATTGTGGGACTGAAAAGGAGAATAAAATGACAATAAAGCACAATTTGCAAAGATGAAATGAGAAAGAAGTAAGTTATAGTGCCAGGATCATTCATTTGTCAAAGGACTTTCTAGAGAGACATTTGGCTTCTAATTCCTGGAGAATTCCTTCCTTCTCTGCTGACCTCTGCCCCCTGCTGTAGTATGATAGAGTGTGGAGGAGGTCCAGCCCCCCCGAGAAGCCTCGGCTCACTCGCATTCTGCTACCAGAATCCTGGCTGTGGCTGGAATGGCAGCCTTCCTGGGGCTCGCAATGACGTAGCGTGTGCTGGTGCCCTGTCAGTATTAGTTCGTACAGAAATCATTTTCTTTTCACCCGGGAGATGTGCAAGCTGCCCTGCCTTCCATCTGAGACCTGGAGGGCCTGGATCCTGTGACCAGCAGACCAGCTTTTTAACAGGAGCATGAGCACAGCTGTCTTTTGACGTGATGCCAAGCTCACTGCGCACTGGCTCCAGTGATTTCTCCAAGGAGACAGGATCCCAAACATATCGAGGAGTCTCTGAACCTTCCCATCTGCGTGCTGAGACGCGTGGGCACTGAACTGTAGCCAGCACTGGGACTGGGGACAATCGGAGCTGCCTGAGGTCTCAACTGCAGCCCCAGGCCTGCCCACAGGCCCATCGAGGTCATCTGAGCAAGACAAATCCCCCGGCCGCAGCCCACAGCTGACTCCACCTGGAGCCTCTGGGTCTGCTGAGTAAAGGAGAAAATCACAACTGCTCAATGGTGTCAGGACGGCTATGCTCAGTCGTCCCTCCATGTTCATGTCCAGCCCAGCCTTTCAGGCAGCGGGGAGGGAAATGTCTGCTTCACCTGGGCAGAGAGACAGCTGCCCAGAAAGGCTTCCCACAGCCCCTAAGCAAGGGGACTGTCCTTGGGTTGTCTCAAACCCACAGCTCTACACAGCCTATATCTTCCATGAAGACCCCTCAGAGGCCGGCCTACTGGGAGGTCAGGGCTGGACTGGGTGCTGCTGGCTGAGCAGGCACATGGAGGACGCCAGGCACTGAGAGCAGGAGGGGGAAGGCTTCTGCACATGCTGATGTGACAGGCTCAGGCCCTGGTCACGTCCTGCGGGAACCTGGCTCAGGAGGCGCTCACTAGCACCCAGAGCAAACAGGGTCTAGAGCAGCAGGCCGTCCGGGCAGCTAAAGCCGAGGGCCTTCGTTGGCTGGTCAGTCCTTCAGAGAGAAGCACTGTGTTCAGTAGACTAGGGAACCAGGTGAGAAACAAACAGGCAGGACAGGCAGGTTGCACAGGAGCCTGTGAAGCGGGGTCTCACTGTGACCGCCGGAAGGGACTCACCCGGAGGAAGAAGGGGAACTTCCTGCCGTAGAAGCCGACGCGGAAGAACTCGGGCTCCAGGCGCTGCTGCTCCATGATGCTGTCGTAGTAGCTGGCTTCCATCTTCTGTGGATGAGAAGCTGCCTTCAGTTTGGCTCCACTGCTAGTCCAGAGCAAGTCCTCCCAGGCCCACTGGACACTGTCTTTCGTCAAGAGAACCTACAACTCGGTCTAGATGAGACCCATGCTCGGCCTCTCCCCGGAAGCCCCTCCTCTTCCACTGTCACCTGATTGGGGGGTGGGGGGGGGCAGGCCTGCCCTGCAGCCCCGGGAGGCCGTTCTGTGTGTCCTTCCCAGTGGGCGGACCCAGTTCCAGACCCAGGCTTCCTGCACGCTCAGGGGCAGACATTCACACGTGCAGCCACACCCCCTCCCCCGGTTTCTGGTTCTGAGTGACACTGCACCTGACCCTGGCGGGTGCTGCTGACAAGGGCTAACAGCAGTTCTCGGCACCAGTCGGCATCAGTCCAGCTGCACGGCTCTTGGTCATCTATCATGGGACTAACGAGGCTAAGGAAGGCTCACTTGCCAGCGTCACTGGTACTGGCTCCAATTTAGGAGACTTGAAACTTTAAAAGCTGAGCTACTGTCCGTGATGCCGAGCATTTCCGCGGCCGGTAAGCTTTCATTCAGAAACACTCCCTGGACTCTGAGAAGACAGCTCGAAGGCATCCAATGGAGCCAGCCTGCCAGGAAGCAGAGGCCTTCAAGGCCCAGCGGAGAAGCTGATGCTAGAGGGCCATGTCTACACAGGCCCGAGTCCCGCGCGGGGCAGGAACGCAGCAGAGCTCGCCGCACGGAGCAGGGTGCAGGAGGGCGAGCTGCGACTGCGGACCTCCCTTGTCAAGGACTCAGCAGCTGCCAGGACGCTGACCCCAGCACTGGCAGCCTTCCAAGTCCATGGGCATTTCACCTAAGTTATGGATATTCTGCTGTAAAGAAGGGAGAAGAGGCCTTGGCCTCACTGAAAGGGGGACCACGAGCCACAGCAGGGGACGACCGCACAGCGTTTTCAGATGACGCGTCCCTGAGCAAATCATTTCAGGAAGAGCTTCTTCGTGAGGTCGGGCTGCCACCTCCTCCGGGAAGCCGTTCCACTGGTGTATGCTGCTCATCCCTGAGCACCAGTGTGACAATCATTGATCAAGTGCCTGTTCGTTCCCCAGCCAAATGGCAAGGGGCTCGAAGGCCGAAACCTGGCCTCTGCTCCTCCTTAACGCCCAACAGCACTAAGGCGAAGGGCTGGGCCTGCAGTGAACGCTCTCTCAGAACCCGCGGCCAGGAGAGCCGGGGCTGGGGTGGGGCAGGGGCAAAGCTCACCCGGATCCAGCTGAGGCTCTGATAGTCGTAGAGGCTCTCGTACTGACACGCCAGCTCCCGGCACAGAGGGATGCCAAACTCCCAGCTCTGCATCAGGAAGAGGAACAAGGCTTCAGCGCCTCAGGCGCCCCGGAAGGCCCAAGCCCACTTCACCCACAGCGGAGGGCACAGCCACGGCCTCCTGCACCTCCTGCCACACAGACCATCTGCGCAAACCGACCTGCAGCGCCCAGCGCAGAGCACTCAGGCTCTGCAGCGCGGCCGCTTCCCGGCTTCCACGCAAGTGCCTCCTCCTCCCAGAGGCCGCTCCCTGGCTGCTTGGAGGGGCAGGCACCTCCGCCTGTTTCCTTACCTGAAGCTGAAGTTGTAAAACACTAGTTACATTTGCTGTTGTGTGAGTCTCAGTTAGAGGGTGGACTGCAAGAGGCCTGGGACCTTGTCTATTTACTTTATCCTCAGAGCCTAGAACAGAACTAGGCATGCGCAGGTACTCAATGAAGATTTATTTAATGAGTTAATAAAGGAAACAACTTTTAAAGTAAGATTATGTAGGCTCGGAAACAAATATGGAAACCAAACCTGACCGGAATCAAACCCTCAGTCCACAGGCCAATGCTCTGTCCACTGAGCTAAACCAACCAGGGTGAAAGGGTTAAATCTAAAGTGGCTTCAGGTAGTCCTTGCCTAGCCAGGCCCCAGCTGCTTCTGTGGCAGCTCCTGTTATGGTGACAGGCCCATTGGACAGGCCTGAGGAGGGCTATAATGGCCTTCACTGTAGAGCAATATTGTCCATTGCTTCTTTTTATTACTATTTTTTAAAAATATATTTTTATTGACTTGAGAGGAAGGGAGAGGGAGAGAGAGAATCATTGATTGCCTGCCTCTCGCCCACCCTACACCGGGGATCGAGCCTACAACCCGGGCCTGTGCCCTGACCAGGAATTGAACCATGACCTGCTGGTTCACAGGTTGACGCTCAACCACAGAGCCACGCCAGCTGGGTCATTTCTTTTTTTAAAATAGTGCTTTTTCTCTTGGTTAAACTGGGAATCATGGTTATTTCAGCCAGATTCTTCTCCTCAACATCTAAATACGATTTAAATTCTTTATATTATAGGAAATGTTAAACATATAGAAAAATAGAATAGAATAATGAAAGGCTAGGTACACATCACCCAGCTTCAACTATGATCAATTCATGGCCTGTCTTGTACCATTCATGCCCCACCCACTGACTCCTCCCTATAGTTTCTGAAGCAAATCTCACATAATTTCATCCATAAATATTTCAGTATGAACAATAAGGACTATGTTTTTTAAAAACACTATTTGAAAATCCAACAGGGAGAAGGACAATAATATCTCATTTGGGTCTAGTTTCTCAAAAGAGCATATTATTTCTATCCTTAGAAGTGATTAATGCCATATGGATCAAAAACTGCAGGTCCAATTAAAGATTGGAAAAAAGAAAGATAATTTTATTTTATTTATTATTTTTAAAAAATGTATTTTTAAAATTAATTTCAGAGAGGAAGGAAGAGGGAGAGAGAGATAGAAACATTAATGATGAGAGAGAATCATTGATTAGCTGCCTCCTGCACGCCCCCCACTGGGGATTGAGCCTGCAACCTGGGCATGTGCCCTTGACCAGAATCAAACCTAGGACCCTTCAGTCCACAGGTCAACCTCTATCCACTGAGCCACACCGGTCAGGGCAAGAAAGAGAATTTTAAATAGACCCTGACTCCCTGCCCCAATACAACGCCTCTGGCCTCAGGGAGCTAGAAGGCCTTCGCACCCCCATAGCCCAGCCTTCCAGGGGGCACACCCCTGGCTCCAAGTGCTGCTCGGGCAGGTTTCAGCCAAGGGCCCACAACAGGGAGGCTGAGCGGCTGAGCCGTGTGCAGACTCCGCCACCAGCAAGAGCGCCTGTGCGGACTGTTCACTTAGGGAAGGAGGCCCCTGCGGGCTGAAGGCTCTGCCTACACCAGCGGCTCCCGGCAGCGCATGTCTCCCCCCTCCTGGGCTCAGTGCGCCTCTGCCCTGAAGTGCAGCCTGCTGCTCTAAGCCTCCCCACCCCAATTACTCTGCCGGCCTTCAGGGCTGTGCTGGAAAACTGGTGGGCCTGGGCTTTTTTTTAAATCCTCACCCAAGGATGTTTTTAAAATGATTTTTAGAGAGAGAAGAAGGGAGACACATAACCAATAAATGTTTTCTGATTTATGGGCAAAAGCCATTCATGTTTAAATCTTTCTTTTTTTATGATGAAAAATTCACTTAAAATTTCCATTCAAGCCAGGGGCTCGGCCACTCTAGTTCCCTGAGGGTGCCATCTCAGTCTCTATCTAAGACATGCTCGAAGCGGAGTACGGAAGAACCCCTCGACAAGCAAGCACTCTGGCCTTCCCAGTGTCGGCCACAAGCGGAGGTGGGGGTGTGGGGGACAGAGGGTCCGCCAGGAGCTCCCCCAGAGACGGGGCTGGAGGGCGGGAATCCCCAGGGAAGCCGGAGCCAGTGCTGACAGAGGATGCCTGCCAATCCACAGCACCCAGCCTGAGGGGGCATAACCCCAAGGAAAAGGGGGCTGAGCTGTGGGAGAGAAATCCAGACAAGAGCAGGCACCCAAGAGGCAGCACCGCTCCCGTGGCCGGGGTTCAGACCCATTCCTTTCACACCCCCCCCCCTGCCCCGCAGCCACCGCCCAAGGGTCCCTGCGGCAGCCGGGCCCACCTTGCCCTTGCTGAAGTAGTGGATGATCTTCCGGCACAGCCCCTCCTTCCGCTGCCACTCGGTCTGCGACGGGTAGTGGAGGAACTCCCGCAGCGGCCGCTCCTCCCACTGCAGCAGCTCGCAGTACAGGAGCAGAGTGAACGCAGCCTCTGTGGGGACGGGCAACGTGGAGGTCAAGGCCCGTGCAGCCCAGGTCAGGGGCCCTGGGTACCAAAGGGGAGACACAGGAGCTGCCCAGCCGACGACCTGTGACCACAGCACGAAGGGGCCGAGACCCTGGGAGACACCTCCCCCCACGGCCTGGTCACTCGCTCTGGCTCCAGAGGACGGCTGGCCCAGCGACCGGGAGCCGGTGCACAGGTGCCTCACTCTGGAGACATGGACCTGAGAGAGCCCGGGTGGCTTTCTTCTTCTTGTTTTGCTCAGGTAACTAGAGCTTCCTGTCCAAGCTCATCAGTACTGGCTCTTAGGAGTGAGCACTGACCAGGCTTCTCTGCCCTCCCTGAGCCGGCCTCGATGCCTCCACCTTCACTTTCTGGTCTCTGCATGGCCCTGGGAAGGACCCTTCTCCTATTCCTCCTGTTTCTAGAAGGACCAGAGCAAGGAGGTGCGAGAGGTGATAAATGTGTGATGGCCGCAGCCAGCAGCTCCTTCCCCGAGGAACCGACGTGGACCTGGACCAGGGCAGAGCCCCAGCGACACCTCGCCCTCATGAGGGCCGGGGGAGAGGATGTAAACAGCGCTACAGCCCCTGCTCCCTAAATCCCACGGAGTGAGCCACAGGGAATCACAGCTGCTGCTCGGGGTCCTCTCTACACCGTCTGCTCTTTCCAGCTCTACTTGCTCATTTTCAGTGGCTTCTCTCTTACTGGGAAGTGAGTTAGTTCTAGCTTCTGCCTGGCCTTCGAGGTCCCACTCAGGCCTGTTCCTCATGACTAAGAACCTCAGTTCGAATTATGTTGTGGCCCACTCGCCTGCAGGCTCTCCCGGCTCCTCCTCGCCCTGGCCGCTCTGCCTGTCCTCCGGTCACGGGACCCTCCTGCCCAGGGAGGTACAGGCCTCCTCCTGGATGGGGAAGCCGTTTCTCTCGGAACAAGCCCCTGGGCACTCACGTCCTGCCTCTGAAGCTTGGGAAACAACACATTCTCCTCAGGTGTCATTCCTGAGGCCACTAGTGACGCGTGGAAACGGTTGGCTAGCCCTTCGCTGCCCTCCTGGAGGGGTGCTGGGTCATGGGGGGAAGTGGACGCAGAGAAGGGGAGTCAGTCCTGCCATCACTTAATTCTGGCCAGGCCGTGTAGTCAGAAAAGGCTTCTATGCCCAACACTCTAACATCGAGAGATAGGAGAAAGGATTGTTTCAGGAAGTCCATCTAATTTCATCGATGTTTGTGGACGAGAGCTTGGATTTCCTGTCCAGCGCACACATGTAAGTCCTGTGGCCCAAGGGCTGAGAGGGAGCGGCTGGTCACAGTGAAGCAGGTGGCTGTGGGGGGAACTATGGCACAAGGTGACGGGCGGCCTCCTGACTCAGAGCAGGGCTCAGTAAACAGTGTGACAGGCAGTCAAATGCTTTTAAACGTGTTCTGTGAGGAAAGGCCTCTGTCGTTGGTTAAATGCAGGTGCAGCAGAAGGGCTGCCAGAAAGCCCCCTCCACATCCCCTGGGGGCTCCATGCTGTGTGGTCTGGAAGCCCAGGCGAGGCCGTGCTCCTGTCATGGCCGCACCGGATTCCCCTGTGCAGGTGCTTAGAAAGGCTCTGCGCGAGGAGGGGCAGGGCTCAGGACGCTCGAACCTGGAGCAGCAGAACCCGGAAGTCACCCAGGAGGCCTGGGGGGGTGAGGGTGGGGGGGTGTGGCGGGGTAGGAGGCACGGAGACTGGAGCAGGCAGGGGACGTGGCAGGAGGCACAGGTGGGAGTTCTGCCTGCTTTCTCCGCCACGTTACCAAGGAGTCGAGGGGAAGGAGTGAGGTGAGGGGCAGCGAGGCCCCAGCACGCTGCCAAGGTCTGGCAGACACCAGCCAGCGCCATCTCTGCCAGCTGTGCTCACCCGTCCAGGCAGTCCTCACCGGGAGGCATGGCTCTCTCTCTCACACTCACCTGTGTAGTTCTCCGCCTGCAGATGCATGTCACAAAGCTTATGGATGTAGCGAATATACATCTCTTCTTTGTTAATCTCCGACTTGTAGAAGTTCTGTAAGAGAGAAGGAAGCGCACACACAGGTGGGCGAGGCTGCCACCAGCGGCGGCCATCCCTGAGCTCCAGGCGGCTGGCCCCAGCCCCGGTGTGCTGGGCAGCAGTGGGGGCAGCTGTGGAGGCACCAACCGGAAAAGGACAGGACCCACCGGAGGGCACACCGGCAGGTCCCCGGGAGCCTCGAGTAGTGAGGAAGGGGAGGAGTGCCAGTGCAGACTGGGATCCGGGCAGGCTGGGAGCTAGGGTAGGTCAGGGCGGGTGGGACCCCGCCAAGAGGCCAGGCTAGAGCTCTGTCCAAAGAGCAGCTCATTTCATTCCTTTCCCAGTGGGAACAGGACTGAGGAGATGTGCGCTCTGAGAGGCCCGTAACGGGATGTCCTGACGACCTCGCGGCTGACAGCCATGTGCTGGAGGAGAAGGGCATGTCCGCTCACCATCAGGTTCACCGTGCAGCCGACCTTCTTGTTCTCCGTCTCCTCTCCTTTCATGCAGTCCCTGCAAGGAGAGCGCAGGGGAATGCCCATGGCGTGAGGCGGGGCCGATGGGACAACATGCCCAGCTGTAGCCCCAAGGAGGCATTGCGGGGACCCACCCGACTGGGATGCTCTCCAACCGGAACTGCTTCCTGCTGCTGCCCCGGAAGACGGGCAGGGAAGACTCTCCTAAAAGAGGCCTTGCAGCCTCTGGCTGTGGCTGTGCGGTGGCTGCCTGTGCCTACCCCAGTGGCTGGGCAGCCCCGTGTGACCGCAGGGGGCCGGGAAAGGAAGGCTCCCTGGCTTCCAGCTGCCTCCTCCAGGTGGAGGTTCTGATAGAGCCCACGGGCCCGGCAACGCTGGCTCTGTCCTGTCTTCCAGGGACCGAGAGAACCCTTCTAGGGCTTTGCTTCCTAACCTGGGAAACACGGTGGCTACCGATGAGCATTTCTCTATCCAACACGGAATGTCTGGGATTCACGCAGAAGTTGAAGAGCTGCTTCTCTGAGTACCTACGGTTCGTGCCAGTACAGAGCTCTCACACTAGAGGTTCAGGGCGTTCAGGAGTGCTACCTATTGCTTATTTGTAAAGATATATGTATATTGAGCTTGAAACAGCTATTCTTTTAGTAAGTTCTTGTTGAACTAAACTGCACTGGGGTGGAAGAGACTTCCTCAGTCCTGCATAACCTCACAGAAAGTTCATCCAAGTGAGAGTCTGTGCGCTGCACCTGCCAGGGACTCTCAAGACTCCATACGGGGAGCCAGGGAGGCAAGGACCAGGTTGCTGTCCTCCAGGAGCTGGCTCTCTTCTGCCGGATGAGTTAGAAAGGTGACACAGGTCCTCATCCAGGTGACATGCTCCGAAAGAGGTGTGCAGAGACAGCCGGCTAAGCTCCTGGGGAGGCCTTCCTGGTGGGGTGCGAACAAGGAGCCACACTGGGAGGCTGGGCTGCAGGGCGTGGGGAGTGGGGACTGGCAGGAGGTGGGGCTGGAGCCGTGGGCGAAGACCAGTTTATGAAGAGCCTCTGACGTCCCGGGAAAGAGTCTGAACTTTGTGTTGCAGGTACCACCACTGAGACAGGAATGGGGGAGAACAAGGCAGGCGGGGCAAGCGCAAGAGGCTAGAACTAGGCCCGGAGCCGAGAAAGCAGCGTCTGCTCTTTCCGCAGCCACAGCGGAGAGGGCCAGCGCTAGTGAACGCTGTCGTGAGGAAGAGGCCAGGAGCTCTGTCCCCTTCCTCCCCGGTGGTGGCAGGTGCAGGGAAGACGAGGCTATCCTGGTCTGTGGTGTGAACAAGTCAGTCCTCTGTTCTGACTCCCCAAAGGCCACCTGTGACCTCATGAGGCCCCGGAACAAGGGTCTGAAGCTCACACAAGCACAACTATGGGAAGAGGGGAAGCTCAAGATGCGAGCACTTTCCTCAAGAATCCCACGTCCACCCCCGGCCCTGCCCTGGACGCCGAGTCCTCTGCTCAGCAAGCTCTTGGCGCAGCAGCGCCTTCCCTTCCGCAGCAGCGATGGGGCGGACCTCGCTCACATTTCCTGCCCGTGGGTTGAAAACGCTCCCCGGTGTGCCCGTGTCTTGTAGCAGAGGAGACGGAGCTACTGCTCGGGGCGGTTTCCTCTTCCATTCCTCCTCTCTCCTAGCGTCTCCCTCTAAGTTCCAAAGGCCCCTCAGCCTCTGCACCCGCACTCTGCTCAGAGGACAACCAAGGCTGTCGTGGTAGCTTCACTGTCACTTTTAGATGAATTCAAAAGCCATGAAGTGACGGAGAAAGCAGGTGTTCATGCAAAAGCCAATTTCACATGAATCTCAGATTGACTGGAACGGACAGACCCTGCGCTCACCCAGCCGCTTCCTCCATCTGCTCACGGCCAGCACCAAAGGACAGACAGAAGCAGACTCTAGGCAGAGAATGCAAGCATGGAAGGGTGGGGTCCCCGGACAACGGCAACGCCAACCGCAAGTCCTTCTGGGTCACACTTCTGTCCCAGGCAGCACTCCCTGCCCACCTGCCACAGGCTGAGGAAGGCCACACTGAGCACCTACAGCTAGTCCCTGCCTCGCTTTCCTCTCCCTCCCTGCTGAGCCCACGCCTCGGAAGGAAAGTCAGATGGCCGCATGTTCTGGGTGCTTCCTGGGAACATGTGCCCAATATCAGGAGGGATCCCAGGAAGGAGCCCTCCCTCCACCCTGCTTGGCCATCAATAGATTCTTAATGACTGGCGATGGCACGCAACACCAAAGCAGCCCTCCCCGAGGGGCACCTGGTCTCAGCTTCAAGGTCAAGGGATGCCCCGCTAGAGAGAGTATCCTGCGGCCAGGAGGTGCCTGAGCAATACCTGTAGTCCAGAAGGCGCTCCATGAGGCGCGTGACTGAGGTCACGAAGGAAATGCCGGTCTCGCGCCATGTTTCCTGTTCAATCTTCTCCAGCAGGCTGTGCGGACGAGTGAGGGACACAAACACAACACACAGTCCGTGAGCCTTCCCTGGGCGCAGGAGGGGGACCTGGAGGCCCGGGGCCCGTGGCAGGTCTGGAGACAGCAGACTCACCACGCCGCAGCCTTACCTGGGGTAGGGCCCAAACAGCTGGGTTCTACTCCACGCAGCACAAAGCAAGGACAAGGCAATTACTGAACCGGCAACAGCAAATAAACTTATTTTCCATTTCCTGTACGAGGCCCCAAGAATGCCACTGAACCGAGGCGGGGTTTCCGAGCCCTGGCCCCTCCAGTGCACGCTGTGAGGTCCGTTCTGAAATGCCCAGTCCTCTTCTCACTCCAGCCCACACCCTGCTACCTCCGACGGCCTCTGGCTTCTCCAAAGAGCCTGGCTTCTGAGAGCCTCTGCCTCCCACAGGCCTCTCCCGACCCTCGTCCACACTGTCCTTGCTCCTTAAGCTCATGGGAAGTCCCTGGATTGGCAGGCCGAGCTGAGGGCGCACCACTGGGCTCACACCCACAGCCTGGCAGCTGTTAAAGCTGCTATGAGGATGACAGTCTGAGCGGAGACTTCTGGGAAAGTGAGGTTCCCCATGTGACGAGAAGGCAGGACCACTGGCTCTGGCCTCTGGCCCACATGGATAACACGACTGTGTCAGCCTCCCCCAGACTGTGCTCTCCAGAGCTCTGCTCTGCTGGCGACAGGGAGAGGTGTTTTGTGAGCAAACAAGCATGGGAAGTGCTGAGCACCACACCCTCCTTTTGGAGACTTTCACCTCTTTCTGCACATTAAAGGATTTGAGAAATTCTACAGTTACAGAGGCCTGTTCCATTTTGTTCAGTTGGGACTTTTCTAAACCAATCAGCCTGTGGCCCACTTGTTCTTCTGTCTAGCATACCTACCTCCCCCAAAACACAAAGTGGGAAGTGCTGCTCCATGTTACCAGTGGCTTCCAGCGCTCAGACACGACTGGAAGGGCTGTGAGGCACTACTGGGCAGGCAATTTAACTGCAAGTTATTTCTGTGCTACGTCTTCTCTTTGTACTCAGGTCATCAGCTAGCGGCTCAGGAAGAGCTTTCTTTGTCTTATTCCACAATTAGAAACAGCTTCAGCTAAGAGAGCAATGCTGAGAGATGGATGCACTTTCACAAACTTAAATTTCAGATGAATCCACATTTCATTGCGTGCCTCCTCAAGGAACAAAGCAGGCATGGCAGACAGAAAGATTCCCCCTCAAACCAGGGGACCTGGCCCAACCCCGAGCTGCTTCCTGCTGCTGGGCGGCCGAGGGCGAGGGCGCCCGCCAGGCTCTGGCTGTCTCATCACCTCCATTCAGCAGGGTGAGCCCTGCTCTGCCTGCCACCCGCTGTGTCATGAGGATTAAACAGGAAACGTCAACACATTCTGCACAGCGTAAGGTTGTAAGCAGATGTGCAGTATTATTACTGGAAAAGTACGTTACAGGGTTGTCTTCAATATGGCACTAAAACAAAGAAAATCTTCAAGTTGGAAATGAGCGGGGAGGAGACTAGAGCTGTCAGTGTCTTAAGATTTTGTTTAGAAAGATAAAATATCCGACATCACTATCTGTCTGGGAGGACCACGGCGCCGGAGTCCCTCCTTGCGGACTTAGTCCTTAAGGGCTCTTGGCCTCCATGAACTCAAGCCAGGAGCCATGAATGGTAGGAGAAGCCTTGACGTCATGAGTACAATCTCCTGTTTTGCAGGGCACCCGGACTGGAGAGGGGGAGTGACTTGCTCAAGTCACAACATCCATGTCAGTGTTTTCAAGCCAACTGCACACTCACACAAGCAGGGGTTTCACCCCTGCAGCACCGAGCCCTCGTGAAGTCCCCCGGAGCTGTTTGCCCACTGGACACAGCGCCTGCCTGCGATGAAGACATGCAGCGCCCTCTGGCCTCTGCAGCCGCCATGGCCGTCTCAGAGAGCCTGCTGTCACAACGCCACTTCTTGATGGACAGGAGGGGATCCCTGCCCCACTAGGAACCCAGGTCTCTCCTGACGCCCACCCTCTGAAGCCTGCCCCGCCCCTGCATTAGCCCTCTTCACCCCTCCCCCGACGCGGGGTGCCTGGGGCTGAGCAGCTTACAGCAGGCCGAAGAGCTCCCTGTAGCTCTCGTCGCCTTTCCCTTCCGACACCATGCTGTCCAGCTTGTCGATCAGCTCGGACTCCACCTAGAGGGAAGCAGAGACGTGGTAACCCGGAGCGGACCCGGCGGCAGGTGAGGGCCTCTGCGCCAGACAAATCCCAGGGAGGCAGACTCTTCTCTCAGCCCCGAGAAACCACGTTGCCTCCGGGCCAGTAAGGCTCCCTCCAGTGGTTTTAAAAGAGTTGGAACTTACAATTCCCAGGTACTGTACTGTTCTCCAGTCTAGGGGCAAAAGGCGAGGACACCCTGGAGAGAAACGTTATTTTGGATCCAAAACCTTTGTCAAAGGTTTTTCTTTCTTAAAAAAATGTTCATTGAAAAGAATTTGTACGTATAGAACACTACCCTCCAGTCAGCCAGTTACAAAGGAAGGGAGCTGGGCCGGGCCCACTCTGACCACCATTAGGCTGGGCCAGGGAGGTATTTCCTGCGGAGATTCTCTTTCAGAAAAGAAGGCTCCCCTCCATGTCCCCCAGGACCTAAGCGCTTGGGTCATCAGCAGGGCCCTGCCTTTGTTGGACTCCTGAACCGTGAGGAGCAACTGTGCGCTTGTTACTACTGCCAGCTGCTCTGCAGGGCGGCCGTGTGCTCAGCCATTTCCCAACAGGCTCCATTAGGGTTACTCTGAGGTGAGAGATTAGCTGTCCGTGATGAGAGAAAATCTTTAAAACCTTCATTAGCCTTGAGAATGTGGCATCATGGCATTATTTATACAGATATTTCATATAAACAAAAAACGGCACGGCTGCATTTAATAATTAACTGTAACAGAAACATTTTCTCAGTCCAATAGGGCCAAAGAGTCCTAAGGCAATGAACTAAGAAAAGAATAATTGAATTAGGAGATTCATAGCTGGCAGTTACGGTTTCTGAAATCCCATTAGCAGAAAAAGAGACGGTCAGGACAGGGACTCCCACAGTTATGTTTGGCCTGAGGAGTGAGCTGCTTGAATATACGCTTCACCGGAAACAGCAGGCCGAGGCCAGGGGTCCTGAGGGGCTGATGCCCTGCACGCTCTCTGTGCACAGAAGAGGCAGCGGCAGGGACTTGTCTCGGGTTAAGTGAAGTCAGGGGGAGCTGGTCTCATCTCACTGTCAGTCAGCTGGCACCGCCTCCCAGGGAAGCAGGTCTGTGTGTAACAAGGGATTTCCCTTCACACATGAGGTGCAGGCAGACTGTGCTTCCCAACAGGGCAAAGGAGGGGAGGGCCCGGAGCAGCAGAGACTCAACAGTGTACACGTGGGCAGAGCAGTTCCCTGCAGTTCCCAAGACGGGTCCCTGGGCCAGAGCACCAGGCCCAGAGATCTTGTTAGAAATTCAAATTCTCTGGCTCCACTGCATCAGAAACGCCGCGGGGAGGCAGCAACAAGCCGCCCAGGAGGTTCGGATGCCATTCAAGTGCTAGAACCTCTATGTGAGGCAGAGGAGCTGGTGAGGGAGGGGATGGATGGGGACATGACTTCATCACCCTCTGCGGCCCCGATATAGGAAAAGGTCAGGAGAACCTGAGAAATCCAAACCGGATGCTGAGGATCCAGGTAAGCAGAAACCAGTGACCCCAGGCGAATGCGAAGTTCTTCAGCCACAGCATGTCCTAACTGGCAACACTGACCATTTTAGGTTTGAGGGGTGACTTTTATTACTAGAACCAATATTCCTGAAGCGACGCCTCATTATGCACTCATTCAACAAGCATACTTCCTGTGACACACCGGCTGCCTACTTCTGGATAAAATGTTTCCCTAAGCCCACGCTTCCTCATGTGTGAGCTGTAAGGGGCTAACGTGCTTCTTCAGCCCCGTGCCCAGCTCTGGGAGGTGCTCCATGGACATCAGCTTTGATTCTCATCTCTGTGAGCCCACCGTGTCCCACACAACATGGTGGGTTCTACGGAAGAAAAGCACAGGAAACCGTCCTGGGTTGGTCCCAGTGCTGCTCCCCGGAGACAGCTGGGGCGGGGCCGCCTCCTCCACCTCAGGCGGCAGAACGGTGCAGAGGGACAAGCCGCAGCCAGCAGTCTAGCCAAAGGCGCACCCCTCCTGGACCCACCCTCTGTGCAGGAGTCTGTGAGATTCCGGGCTTCCTGAGCCGTGAGAAGCCACCAGGCCAGGGCCCAGCCCTAGCAATGCCCGGACCACACACGTTGGGGATCCCTAGAGAGGAAACACCCCCCTCCCAGGGCTCTCTCCTGGATTAACCGGGAGGTGACAGTCCTTCTCCCCTTGGTCAGAAAGCGCCTTTCACATGACATTCATTCCTTTTCTCTGATTCTTTTCTGGCCTCTAACTTCATGAGGAAAACCTACAAATCAATTCTGGCCAGCAAGTGAGAGAACACCCTTGAACAGGATTCCAGATGGCCAAGCTACAACCCGTCCCCACAGGAACCTCCGCCTGGCCACCCACGTCCCCTTCCTGGGCAGGAGAGCACCCCGAACCTGCCAGGTGTCATCTTACCTGCTTGAAGTTGCCATTTTTCCTCTGCTCCCAGTCCATCATGTCATGAAAGATGGGAATCATGATATTCCGCACTTCTGGCTGCGGGACCAGCGTCACACCCAGAAAAGGACCAATCATTCCCGGGATAAAGTGGATCTTATGTTCACCTGAACAACAAAACCCAACAGGTCGTATTCGTACTTGCTCTGCTTCTGCATGGAGGCTGCCCCATTGGGCCCTGCAAGCATCAGAGCAGCAGGCTCTCCCCCAGGCTTTCCGAGATGCTCCCTCTCTTGGCTGTAGAGCGTCATGGACAACACGGGCCCAGCCCAGTGAGACAGTGACACAGATGTTCGACAGGCACAAGCTGCCTTTCCCAAGAATTTACCGGAAGTTCCACTAACCACCGGAAAATCATTCTGGGCTCAGGGACGGAGTTCACTACTCTAGACAGGATGGGATTTCCGTGTAACCTGTGACAGTTTCAGAGTCTGCTCACAACAGTCATTTAGCAAGGAAAAGTCCATCCACATGCAGCGCGCACTCCCTGGGTTCCTACCTCTAGCCCAGGGCATCTCGGTGATAAGGCTGTTCCATCCCTGGTCCAGCCACTAGAGGTCTGAAGCCCAGGGGTGGCTGCCCGTGTGCGCCACCTGCCAGAGCCCTGCTGTCAGTGCTTCAGACACGAAGGAGGAGAGACAAACCGTGGGCCGTGTAAGCACCACGGCTACAGCAAAGCCAAGTCACTCCCGAGGACCAGAAAGTGCCATTCCCATCAAAAACAATGAGAAAGGATTGGCTTATTAGGCAAATGTGACATCTTTTTAAATCTCTTCTATTTAAAAAGCTTATTTAAGGATCAGATGTTAGCCCTGAGGCTGATGTTGCATATTCCGATCTTGGTGATCGGTGCAGTTGCTAGTCCACTGGGTTCCTGGGAATTTCAGAGTCTACCCCCTTTCCCCCTCACAGAAGTGCAAATCCTGCAGCAGAAAGCTGCCTGGGGAACACATCTCCCCTCCTAAGGGAAGGCCCGTGCTTGCTGCAGGAATGGCTCACACTCTGCTTGTTCCTCTCGTGTTAGAGACGGGGATGGTTAATGAAGGACTATGAGACTTTAGGGCCCTCACTCCTCAGGCTTCAGAACCAAGAGCTCAGTTGAAAACAGACTTTATTAGGAAGAGTAGGGGAGCTTCCCCGGCACTCTGACAGGCTAGCAAAAGCCTGCAGCACCAAAGGATGCCACCCACCCGCCGGGCAATGCAGGTGTGCTAGCCCCACTCTCACAACTGCAGATCCAAAGCAGTGGATAGCAGAGAAGCTGTACAGAGAAAGTCATCAAAAGAAAGGAAGCTAAAACCAGTCTCACCTACGGCCTGAAATTCCCTTCCTACATCCAACCTTCATGCAATGGGTGTCAGGAATGTGATCTGCTGGCCTGAATTCCAGAAACCCAAGAAGGGTTTCAAACTTCACTAAAATGCATAGCTGCCCTTGATGTGCTGCTGAGATCTCCGAGATCTACGCCTCTGAGTCTGCAACATCCAGACGGGACAGGAAGAGCAGAGCGATCTGACGGGCAGGAGCGCTCAAACTGGAAGATACGGCGGAGCCCTCATCTTCTTTTTTTCCCTTTGTATGGTTAGCTCTCAAAAAGGGGGTTGGAATATGTGTTACTGGGGTCTTAGTTCTCAGCCCCACTCTCCTGCCAGGGCTGGTGCACAGGCTACACCACCCATCTGAAGTGTTAGTAGTGAAAGACACGGGAAGATTTCTTGGGTCTAAATTAACATTCATAAACCTGGGGGAGTTACTAGTCTTGTCACTTTCTATCTGGCTACGCAGTATGTGGAAGGGACAAACAAGGAGAAAAGACCTACCCAAATTCTGCCACATGCTGAACAGTTCATAAGCCATCATCACACGCATGTCCCCATACCTGCACACAGGAACACAGGAGCCAGTTATTAGTGGGAGAAGGTTCGGGAAGACAAGGCTACAACAAGGGAGGCCAGTACTTCAGCACTATTTCTAGCGTTGCCCCGACTCTAAGCCATCTGCCTCTCACTGGGCTCCTCGGGAAGCTGCCCAGGGAGCCTGTGGACGCCTGAAGGGGCCTCCCATGGAAACACAAGCCCATCTGGGCATGTGGTAAGGAGGTAAGAGACATATGTCTTACTTATCTAGAATCTTCTTCCTCTTGGCTGAAGTGATGATTTCTAGCTGGAGGCTTGGCTGGTTTATGAACAGAACTGCCAGGCTAAAATAAGAATTCCACACCTAGAGAGACAGAGAGAGAGGAGAACATGTGGCAGCCCAGTCCTTAGCCTCGCAAGAGGGATTCTAAATATACGCATGTAGCACAGAATTCATTTTACAACTTTGAGATCTTGATTTTTTTCTTTTTAAATATCTTTGCAAATGTTTTTTTTTCTTCTTCTTTTTTGACTCCTCTGAAGCCAACAGTGTTAATTCGGGGCCGGGAAGCATACTCAGGGACATCTGGCTCCCAACACCTCCCGAAGCGGAGCTCGCGCTAGGTGACATTCTAGTCACTATCAAGCTTGGGAGCCATTTAATAATACAAACATGTTAATAATAATAAAAGAATCAGTGAGCTTTCCCCAGCCCCCAAGCTGACACGTAGCCGAGTCTTTCTCAAATTCCTGACCTGTACAATTGTAAGCAAAATGAAATGGCTGGGTTTTTTTTTTTTTTCTATATATTTTATTGATTTTTCAGAGAGAGGAAGGGAGAGAGATAGAGAGTTAGAAACATCGATGAGAGAGAAACATCGATCAGCTGCCTCCTGCACACCTCCTACTGGGGAGGTGCCCGCAACCAAGGTACATGCCCTTGACCAGAATCGAACCTGGGACCTTTCAGTCCGCAGGCCGACGCTCTATCCATTGAGCCAAACCGGTTTCGGCTGAAATGGCTGTTTTAAGTTAAACAAAAACGATGAGCGTGGTTTTTGGCTTCCGAGGGTCGCTACGAAGATCGCGGTGGTCTCAGGAGCCCCTACCTTGAAGTCGAAGTCCGTCTCTGTGAAGTTCTTATGCAGGGCGGAGGACAGGTACTGCACGGTGGTGACAATGACGCTGCAGTGAGGGAACAAAGTGTTGGCAGAGTTAACAGACTCACAATGGCATCTGAGAGCTTAGCATCAACTGTCTACGGCCTGTGTGCAGACTTCTTGAGCACAACGTGCTCTCACGTAAGATGTGACTATAAAGAAAAGAGAGAGATGGCACAACCCCCACAGAAAATCAGGCTTGGAGAAACGCCCCATTGTCGGCAGAACAGCACAGAGCAGGAGAGGGTTCTGGCCCAGCTCTGCCATGATCTGGCCTTGGGACTACTTCTCTCTGGGTCCGTTTCCCTGCCTATAAAAGGGGGTAGGTGGGGTTTGATGGTTTTTTAAAGTTGCTTTCAATAAAAATAAAAAAAAATAAAGTTGCTTCCAGTTCAAAGAGTGATTCTAGTGTTTTGGGGACTTTTGGGTAATGAACGTATATTATAACCACCAGAGGACTTAGAGTATAGCTTTGCTCTTTTACATGATAATGGGGGTTTGTAGTTATTAAATGTCTGTATTTTCATCTCTAAGTCATTTGGTTCCAGACTTTGGTTTAGAACAGCGGTTCTCAACCTGTGGGTCGCAACCCCTTTGGCCGTCGAATGACCCTTTCACAGGGGTCGCCTAAGACCATCCTGCATATCAGATATTTACATTACGATTCATAACAGTAGCAACATGACAGTTATGAAGTAGCAACGAAAATAATTTTATGGTTGGGTCACAACATGAGGAACTGTATTTAAAGGGCCAGAAGGTTGAGAACCACTGGTTTAGAATATCACCCTTAATTTTAGTTTGGGCACCTATAAGGGTGCTGAGGGGCTGGCTTGCTGGAGCCAAAGGCACAGGTTGAGGTAGAGAGGGAGTAAAACGGAAGAGGCAGGTGAGGGTTTGCTTACAGAGGGCCTACTGCCTGGCAAGGGAGCTGATATCCAACAACGACCACCAGGGCTCGATGCAGGAGAGGGCCAGGCAAAGACAGTGAGTCAGAGAGACGACTCCACCAGCAGAGGGTGACAGATTTGAAAGGTAAAAGCCTTAAAAGAGCCCGGCGTGGCTCAGTGGTTGAGCATCGACCTATGAACCAGGGGGTCAGGGTTCAATTCCCAGTCAGGGCCCATGCCCGGTTGTAGCTTGATCCCCAATGAGGGGCGTGCAGGAGGCAGCCAGTCAATGATTCTCTCTCATCACTGATGTTCTCTCTCTTTTTCCCTCTCCCTTCCTCTCTGAAATCAATAAATATATATATCTTTTTAAAAAGCCTTAAAAGAAGAGGCTGTGCTTGCAGGATAGGCTGGGGAGCCTGGGAAGCTCTGAGGAGAGCTGAGAGATGGAAACGAGAGGGAGTCAAGTGGAAAACCCACTGTGTGAGGAAATAGCTGTGTAACTTTGATTATAAGCACTCCCTGCTCTGTTCTGCATAAAATGTTTGCAGTTTTGAGTACAGAAATAAAGGGCACTGTCCCAGGTAAAGTGGAAAGGCTGCGCTGATGCCTTGCTAACACAGCGAGCATAAGAATCTCACTATATGCCGCGTAATGCCAACACGAAAGGCAGGTCAGCGGGCGGAGGCAGCGGCCAGCGGCCGTCCCGAGTGGAGGGGGACCAGGTGAGGCTGCACTCACCTCCAGCATCACTTCTCTGGTGTGGCAGTGAGAAGCTCAGGCTAGAAATAGAAACACGGCAGGCGGCCTGGGGTCAGCGTCAGAAGCTCAGAAGCGGTCAGAGCCGCACAGCCAGGCCTCAGGGGCACTTAGCACTGACTGTGGGAGGCAAGCAGTGTCTGGCCCACAACACAGACCAAATCAAGAGGGGGGGGGACCTGCAGGAAACTGGAGCCTCAGAAGCCAATGGGCCCCCAAACAGGCTTCCTCAGAAAGACCCCTTCTCTGGGTGTCACATTTCACACCCCCAACATCTCCGTCTCTCCCCTCACCAGGACGGCATTTGCCAGGCACCCAGGCTCAATTAAAAAAACAACAACTATCTTTGATTCTTTCTTCTCTTTGAACTTATGGTAAATGGTCAAGTCCTGCTTATTGTGTCCAGAACATTTTTTTCACATTCACCCTCTCCTCTCCGTCCCCATGGCCTTGACCTCTTTCTTGCTTTCTCTCCTGCACATACACGCTCTCCTTAGTCTGAGAACAACTCTGTGGATGCTAGTGCGAGGCCCTTCCACACTCACTTGCTTGTGAGAAGTCTCATCACCATCCAGTCCCGAGGAAAGACGCTCATCTTCATCAGGTTCCGGAACACACAGAACGTCTTCAGCAGGAATTCCTGAAACAGGAAGGACGTGCACCATGGCCTTCCCGTCCCCCCCGCCCCGCCCCGCCCCGCAGCGCGGTTCCTCAGCAGTGCTCTCTGGGCCTCTGGACACGAGAATGGGTCTGACCAGCGGGTCAGAGTCTGGCTCCCTTTGGAGCTGCTTCTCTCAGAGTGAGTTCTAGGCACTCTCACAGGTCAGACACGGGAGCAGATCCCAACTGGGCAGAACAGAGGCAGCCCATGCCGGCAGCCCCAAGCCTCGGGAGGGCTAGACTGCAGAGCAACTGCTACCCAACTGCGCCCGGGGGTCTCACTCTGTGGGTCACGGCCACTGAGCATTTGGTTTTCAGAATCTGCCTTCTGGGATGTTAGGGACACATGGACAGGAGAAGCACGTTAGGAGTGGCAGAGGGAGACCCTCCAAAGACGTGCTCCTGCAAGGCAGCGAGGAGAGTGGCGACACGGATCACTCACAGGCCGGCGACAATCCCAGGAGGGTCAGTCAGGAAAAGTGACGGAGGCCCAGGAGGAGCAGTGAGCTTCTGTGTTAACTTCCCCAGCCCCCCCGCCCCCCCGCCCGCCCGCCTCCACGGGAGCCTTGAAAACAAACAGCTGCGGAACCGGAACCGGCGGCCTAGCAGTCACTGGAGGGGCAGCATGGCTGTGGAGCTCCTGGCAAAGGCCATGCCATCCCCACAGAACTGCTGCCTTTGATTTATTTGGGGGCCACCAGGAAAGCCCCACCCAGAGGACTCATTTGACCTGGCCAGAGCTCACTCAGTGAGAAAAGCCTTACCGCTAGGGCATTTGCTGGGAAAAAATCAGTCATAATAACTTAACATCCCAGCTACACGAAGCAGCCATATCAGTTGGGACAAACGAGATAACGCCCACGACACTTAAAAGAAAAATCTGGGGCCCTGGCCGGTGGCTCAGTTGTTGGAGTGTCATCCCATACACCGAAGTACTGCACGTTCGATTCCTGCTCACACCTAGGTTGTGGGTTCGACCCCCAGTCAGGGTGCGTACGAGAGGCATCTGGTGGATGTTTCTCTCTCACATCGATGTTTCTCTTCCCTCTCTCCTCCTTTCCCTTCCACTCTCTCTCAGGTCAATAGACACATCCTCGGGTGAGGATTTAAAAGGAAGATCTGGGAAATGAGATGTCCACAGTGTTCCATGAAAAGCTCTGGCATATCCCTGGAATCTAGAAGGTCACACTTATGTACAGGGCTGTCCACATTCCCAGGAAAGACTGAAACAGCCCAGTACCTCACCTCTGGCTGCCTCAGACCCATTTCTCTGCTCGACCTGCCTCAGGGTTCCGGATCCAGAGTCTGGCAGCCAACGGACAGCGCTCCCTTTTGCTCTCTACGGCATCTTCCAGAAATACGTTCTACTGGGGAAGGGCTGTCACCGTTATTATTACTGTAGTTACTGGACAGTGAAGCCGGGTTTGCAGGGGCAACATAGAAGGCACAGGAAGGGAGGAGTCCTGGTGTGCGGCCGGCACGTATCGTCCAGAGTAGCTTCCCATAAAGACACGTGGTCACACGGTTGCCGTCAGGGCAAACCTGCCAGCATTTCGGGGTCTGGCTGCATGGGACTGCTGCCTCTCAGCCTCCCAAAGCCATCGGCAGGCTGGGAAGAGCGGCTGCGACTCTCACACCCTGCAGTCCTGGCCTGGTCACTTGCACTTGTCCCTGGCAGGGGACAGCCCCTGCAGTCTCAGCCACATGCTGCCCTCTGGGTGGAAGGCACGTGCTTTGCTGCCCACCTTGAGCTCATCTTTGCTCTGGAAGTTGTCCAGGAGGTGCTGGTAGTGGGTGTCGCACATCTGGCGGAGCAGCGAGAGAAGGCAGGACACATACTCACCCTGGGGAAACCCGAGAGACACTTAGCACAGACCATGACAAGGGACAACCCCAATCCACAGAGGGGAGGACAGAAGGGAGGGTCTGAGATGGCCCCATGACCATGAAAGGGGAGGCGACAACTCTGGCCCTCAAAGTGAGCTTTCCTTTCTGCTAAGCGAGGCCTGGAGGGCGTGGGGGTTGTAGGGAGGTTTCTGCAGCGGGGCTGGTTGAAAACCTTAACCTATAATCAAGAAGCACCGCAAGGTAAGACGAGGTTCCAGTTTTTCTCTGAGGACAGATTGGGACATAGTCCTTCGTTACTATATGAGGCCCGGGCACCAAAGAGAAGTCTGGAGGGGCCACTTGCATCAGGGTGCTCGGCCCTCTTTGAACAGAATTTGGATTCTGCCCATCCTGCTGGGTCCTTCCACCACAAGCTCCTTGGGGACCTCCCAGACTTACATGTGGTTAGTGGACCAAGCAATTGGAACATAATAGGTCAACATAACTGTCTGGAAAGTACAGGAATCAAAACTGACCTGTATGAGAAGACAAGCTTTGGGCTTTAAGACCAGTGAAAATTTAAAGATAAAAAAGGAGTCTTTAAACTTTCTTCAAATTCCAAGTGGGGCACGTGGGAGAAAACCCTGCTGTCAGGACTCCAAAAACTTCCACCGCCTCCCAGCAGTGGGCAGCGGGCATCAGGTGGGTGGTGGGCAGTGGGCAGCGGGCACGGCCTCCTTGTGGAAGAATGCCTCCTCAGAAAAAATGGAGCAAAATGACTTCATTCGGACAATTTTCAAATGTCTTAAACTCATGGGAACTTGCCAACAGTTTTTTAGTCTCTCAAATCCTTTCTAGACCCACAAGACTATTATACATATATGTATGCAAGATACAGACATGTACTAGTATGTGAGCCTCAGTTGAGCGCACATGAAGCATTTAGTAAATGGCCCAGGACATAAAAAGTGCTCTCTAAACTGCAGTCATTATCAACTTCATTAAATCTACATAAGATGAAACGCTCGGTGAGTACTGCTAATAAATGAGTTAATATTTGTAAAGGGCCCACAGCAAACACTGTGTCACTGTCGGCGAGAACGGGTCACCAGGACATGTAGGTGTGTATTGTTAACGGGTCACCAGGACATGTAGGTGTGTATTGTTTGCCTACAGTGAGGGCGCCCTCAACAGGGGCACTGACAGGAGTGGACATTCGTCGCCAGCCCAGTGCTCCGGAGCGCTGGCCTGCCCTCTGCTCGCCCGGGCGCGTGGAGCGTGGCTTGCCCCCACAGAGGGCTTTCTTCGTAGCGATCACTGTCATCTGCCACCTGCCGACTGGAAGGTCCCAGGCAATGTTCATCCCGCTCCAACTCGGGCACAGGAGAGGGGGCTCTGGGGCTGCCTCTCTGGCCTCCCGAGAGGCTTTCCCTGTCTGTTTCTCTTCTTGTTCCATCGCGGAGATCGCTGTCCAGGGATGCCAGCGCGATTCTACCGCATCGCATTCTTCCTGAGGCCCGACACTGAGATACAAACATTACAGAAGAAAGCAACTGACCTGTAGATTCAAGCGAATTCTGAGAAAGCCCTTCTGCTGGGCACAGCATGTAGGAGAGCCTGCTCCCAGAAGTCTGCCTTTCACCTGCGGCCTCACCCATCTCACTGCATCTCTGTCTCACCCATTAGAGGACTGACCTGGCTCAAAGGCAAAGGCCAACGGAGACGGCGTGCAGGGGACAGGCCAGGCACGTCTCTGGTCTGCCCTGCAGCGGGCTGCTGTGTGAACCTAGAGGTTCAGGGGGAGATGGGCGGAGAGGGGGAGGGAGACGCAGCATGCTGACGCCATGCGGGGCAGCGGAGATGGAGGAGGTGTGCGGTGAAATGGGGTTGGTGTGGAGGAGCCCCGGGTTAGAGAAGAAACAGGAAACCTGATGTTAGTTACTAACAGTGATCTCGGCTGTGCACTGCGGGCACCGCTGCCCTCTTACCGCCTCCTGAGCGTGCGATTTGCTCATGATGGTGAGCAGAGTCTGCAAGAGCACGTCCAGGAGGCTCTCCACCATCATCTCTACCTCCTCCATGACATCCGCCTCCTGGAGCGGGCGGCAGAGAGCACACAGTTAGCACAGGCCGGCGAGGCAGCCGGCAGCACTCACTAGGTCAGCCACTCGGGACTGGTCTCGGGACTGTTTCTCCACGCGGCTCTCGGCCTCACTAGCAGGAGCGTCAGGGAACCCGGGCACTGGCTCTGAGAAGGCGGGACACTGGGCGCTGATGCCCAGGATGGTGGCTGAGGCCTTACCCAGCGCCACCTGACACCCACCTGACACCCACAGTTCTGAACTGCAGGCAAACACGTTAATCTCAGTACACAGGACAGAAACGAAGGTCCCGAGTTCGGGGTTTTCTTATTTCCCTGTCAATGTCAGGAGAAAGCACAGTGCTGCCGACCAACGCCGAGAAGCTGTGGGGCAGCACCTCTACCACTGCTAATGCACACAGAGGGTCTTGGTCTTTCTGAAGACGGTCTCCTTTTCAGGGTTTTCCCTCTGGCTGCTTTCAGTCTCTGCCGGCCGGGCTGCTGCCAGGTGTGCCTGGGCCCCCTCTAGCTCCTCAGCTTCTCGCTCATGGGCGCTGGTCCCCCCGGAGGACTCTGGGTCTGCGTCTTTCTGAGCAGCCCCCAGAACACGGAGCACGCCTCCTCACAAGGCTGCCTCCCAGCCACGAGGCTCTGAGCTCAGGACGAGCCTGTGCTATCCCTTTACAGAGCTCCCACGTTCAATCTCAAACCCCCTAACTCGGTTCCCATTATCCCACAGAAACCCCATGGCCCTTCTCCAGCCTCTTCAGGTTATTACTGGTCCAAATGTCCATCCATCCATCACTCACTAAGCATTTATCACGTGCCAGCCACTGTCTGAGGACCGGAGTGTACAGAGGCGAACAAGGAAGAGAACCCCTCTGCTCTCGGGCAGCTGCAATCGCTCTCCTCCCCTACCCGCCTGCTGGTATCGACACCATGACGCCCGGCCCGATCCACGTGAAGAATCTGAGCAGCTCTTGGGCCCAAAGTTGTCTCTCATCTGCTGGACTGATCGTAACACTCTTACCTGTGATGCCTCTTTGAGAAATTGTAAGCGATTAATTGGATCGAACTCTCTAGCCCCACAAATACAACCAGACCATCCCCTCTAGGCTTTATCTGTTCCTCCTCTTCCTTTTATCCTTCAATCTTTCTCCTTTTTTTTTTTTAGCAATAAGCCTCCCACCTGTCAAGTCTGACCTTGGTCACTAGGAGACCTTATGCACCCGTGTGGCCTCTCTGAGGCCTGGGGGGAAGGGAGCTGCCAGGCCTTGCCGGGAGCCAAGAGCGAACCATAGGACCCTACACCTCACAGAGGCTCTGCCACGCTGTGCCAACACCAGATGGTACTTTAAGTCTGGATACCAGAGCACCCCACTGGGTCCCTGTGTCCTGCGCAAACCAAGCACACTCCTTTCTGGCGCCTCTCCGGTGCACGGCTGGCCTAACCGTGTGTTCTTATCACCTGGCCACTGGCCTTCATTTTCAATGCACTTGACATTTTATTTTCCAGGAATCTTATCTCAACTTAATAAGGTGTGTAATAAAAAACTCATTTTTGTTTTTAATTTATTTCTTTATACTTTCCTATATTTTCCAAATTTCCTATAAGAAATGTAAATTTCTTCTACTATCATAAATACATATAGTAAATATCATTAAAATAAATTATTCATGCCTGATACGTGTCTTTCATTCCCTTCCTCCCCTTCCACCACAGATTTCTTTTTAAAAGAAAATATAAAGAAAGAAAATAGGCACAAGCGTGAAACCTCCCTCCTCAAGCACAGCTGTACCAGCCGAGGCTCAGTGCGCCTGTGGCAGCATCTGCTGTATCTCTCACCCACCCTGGCCTATCCGGCAGGCGCAGGATGCCATACGGTGGGATCAGGCTGCCAGGAAGCTGCCAGAAAGTCTGAATGAGCAGCTGCCTCCCAGCCTGCCCGCCCCTGTCCATGCCGAGCACCCTCAGAACCCTCAGGACACCCAGGAACCCAGAACCAACGCCGCTGATGGCACAGAGCGCGGCCAAGGACTGGGCTTTCTGCTCTACAGACAACAATGCTTCTGGGTGGACTGAGGGTGGTTTTACGGTAGTGAAACTTTTAAAAATAGCAAGACTGAGTTGAATTGTGTTGAGTAGCCTGCTGGGCACACACAGGCCTCCACTCACTCGGGTACCTTCCTGTCACTGATGAAAGCTTCTCTGACTGGGAAGTGTACAAAGCGCTCTCTGCTGGTCTGCCTCTGGCTGGGGTAACCCCAGTCCGGGCAGAGCTGAGGGGGTGGGGGGGGGTGGGGCCACTACCAGAGAGCTGGTCTTGACGATGGAGAAGATGCTGCCGAGAATCCCTGAGCAGATGAGCAGCTCTTTCTGCTGCCGCAGGTGAAGGTGGATGTGATGCAGAACCACAGGGAGCAGGATGCGGCGGGAGCAGGATGCGGCGGGATTCTGGGAGAGGAAACACAAAGGTGAAGGAGCCACCGCTGAAGCCAGTGGCAGGCGAGGCTGGGGCTGAGGCCACGCTGGAGGCCACGCCCTCCCCTTGTGCAGGCCTAGAAACCCACCCACTTCCGGGCACTTTCAGCTCCCCCAGCACTATCCTTCCAGCTCTCTCTGTCTTTCTCTGGTCAAGACTTAGTGTCTGTGGCACTGTGTGCAGGGTGAGTGTGAAGACAGCGCTTCCAAATGAAAGCTCCTTCCTGACTAGACTCCCAATAAAGGCTTCTAGTGAGCCTGCCACTGAAATGCCATTCCAGCTCTACGAGCTGCACTGACTGAACCTGCACACTTGATCGGATTGTGAACGTCCCTCTTCCCAACGCCTGGCTAGGTGTCCTGGCACACCGCCCCCAGCACTTACTCTGTGCAGCCATTAGCTGCCTCACTGCCCCTCAGGCTTGTGGGATGCTAGGTGTGAGCACAGCAAGAACAGGACAGAAGCAGGACTTTTGTCCTAAGCCTTTGATAATTAGCTAACGCTTATCGACAATCCTACTTTCTTTTCTCCTCATTGTTACTCAAACAGCACTGCCATCAGGAGGTGACTATTCAGCACCTGAGTTCAGGAAGGCTGCTCTACTAATTCGCTCTAAGACAGTGCTTCTCAGCCTTGGCTGCACATTAGAATCACTTAGGAATCTTTTTAAAATCCTGATTTCTGGGCCTCATCCTCCGGAAATTGTTTCTTTGTTACTAATGTTGTGGCCCCACCCCATAACAAAGAAACAGAATTTCCGGAGGATGAGGCCCAGAAATCAGGATTTTAAAAAGATTCCCAGGTCATTCTAATGTGCAGCCAAGGTTGAGAACCACTGCTCTAAGACCTTAGGCAGCTGTCTCCCTGTGGGCTCCACCGCCCCCATTAGCACCGTAGAACGAGGTGCTAAGGGCCTCCTCTGCATTTACTCACAGTGTGATGATAACACAGTGTAAAGTGTTTCTGGGCCCTGCAGGTCCCACACGCCCGGCCAGCGTGATTCAGTCAGATGATCAGTAACACAAAGAGCCATAGCATTTTGGATTGATTGTTCATATTTCACCATAGTTAAGTGTTCCAGATGAAATTCAGAAAGAAAATCTCTGCCAGCCAAAGACAAATCACATGACACACGGAGATTTGGGGACTGCCTTGCCAAATACCGATTAGAACATGTTCCAATAAAATGGACTGACAGCTATCCTATGTTTAAAAAACATGCTTGATGCCGGCCGGGTGGCTCAGCGGTTGAGCATCGACCTATGAACCAGGAGGTCACAGTTTGATTCCCGGTCAGGGCACATACCTGGATTGTGGGCTCAATCCCCAACGTGGGGCGTGCAGGAGGCAGCCGATCAATGATTCTATCATTGATGTTTCTCTCTCTCTCTCTCTCACTCTCCCTCTCTCTCCCCCTTCTTCTCTGAAATCAATAAAAATATATTTAAAAATAATAATAAAAAATAAAAAGATGCTTGGCTAAAAGAGAAGTTCATAATCTATTTTGTAGACCAAAACACCAACCAAGCAGGATATGACACAACCAACAGCTGCCGCAGAAACAGTAGTTTTTTACTAGAATCTGCTGAAGATCAGACCAATGTGCTCTGAGAATGAGTGCTGGTTAAATGACAGCACTGGTAGAAACCCTACAACTCAGGCATTCAATGGGATTGAGATGCAAATGAAGACGTGGTGGTGGCTTGTCATCTCCAAACCCAATCGCTTTTTACGAAGATGGCACCGAAAGCTAAGAAGGAAGCCCCTGCCCCTCCCTCCCAAAGCCGAAGCCAAAGCAAAGGCTTTGAAGGCAAAGAAAGCAGCGCTGAAAGGCGTCCACAGCCACACAAAAAAGAAGACCCGCACGTCACCCACCTTCCGACGGCCAAAGACACTAGGCTCCGAAGGCCCCAAATACCCTTAGCAGAGCGCCCCCAGGAGAGACAAGCCTGCCCACTGTGCCACCATCACATTCTCCGACCACCGCGTCAGCCATGGAGAAGACAGAAGACACAAGACACTGTGTTCCTTGCGGATGTCAAGGCCTACAAGCACCAGATCAAAGAGGCTGTGGAGAAGCTCCGTGACACTGATGTGGCCAAGGCCAGCACCCTGATCAGGCTGATGGAGGGAAGAAGGCACATGTTCCACTGGCTCCTGACGATGATGGCAACAAAACTGGGATCATCTAAACCGAGTCCAGCTGCCTAATTCTAAATATAAAAATTTACACTGAAAACAACAACAACAAACCCAATAAAGTTTTAGAACAAATTGTCTGCACGATTATGGGAGGAGCAAGTACATGCAGAAAATACTAGACGTGAAGTGTGTCAGTGAGAGCAGTCTGCTGTCTCCCTCCCCGACACTGAGAAAGCTTCTTGCTCAGCACAAAGCTCTAGAGTGGCGCTGGCCTCAGTGACAGGGTCCCAACCTGATCCAACCTTCAATCCAGCAGCTGGTGAGGAGAGCGTTTAACCTGAACAGAGACTGAAAGAAAAGCGGATGTTCTTGGTGGCAGCTTTCCATCAGCAAGACGCCACCAGCGAGCTAAGTTCAAGAGAACACTTGTTTAGTATTGCAAATGTGTGTAGCGCTGGGCTGTGAAATTATTGCTGTTATATTTCAAAAGTCAAACTTAAAATTTTTTATTATAAAAAATTCTAATGATAAAAATTCAGTAATTGATTTGCTAGCATTTCCGACTGTTCCTGTGCCCTAGAAGTTTCTCCTATGCTCGTGCTACTAAAGGATCAGGCTCACATTGACCTTAACATCTGGCCACGGAGAACCTGGTACCGCTGCAAGCTGCTCATGTTTAATGTGGCTTTGGGTTTGATGCTGGAGGTTCATTCTGAACAGCAGCCTGGCCCGCTGGTGGTATTTGTTAGGCTGCCCTGACCGGTCTGGAGGTGTGGAGGGCTCCCTGAACATCTCTTTGTCTAATCCTAGAGGCTCCTTCACAGAGAGGAAAAGCAATCTATCTGACTGGCAAGACCAGGAATCGGGAAAGCACAGAGGGTTCTCAGGGGCCCCCTCAGGTTCTTTTTATTTCCTCAGCTTATCTGTTCCCCTCGGGCCAGACCCTTCTCTCTGCTCCCCCTCCTTTCCCTCCGTGGTCCCCCCTGCTGGGGGTGTGGCAGGCCCATTCTTGGCAGCAGGCTAGACTTATGGGCCCGGAGTTGCTCTGCAGGCCATGCCACGTGGGTCTCTAAGAATAAATTGTGAGTGAGGCAGTAGTCCTATGTCTTGTCTGCATTCTTGAACTTAAAAGTTTTTATTGCCAAAAATTATAATTATAGTTTACTAAAAAGACTGCATCTAAAGGCTACTGGCTTCTTACGTGACGGCTGATAAAACTGATCCTGTGATTACCACGTGGCTAGCACCCTGAAAAGGTGACTCTGACTGTCATCCCAACTTGACTTACCTGAGAAAGAAAACAGGCGGCTGTCCACAGTCCTGGCGATGGACTGCAGCTTCACCACATCCATCGACTGCCCGATGTGCACAGTGCTGGGCATGCTCCCCAGGGTCCCTCTCACAAACTCTGCCACCTCCTGCACGGTGAACATTTGCAGCAGCTCGTCAAAAATGGTGGGGAAGGAATTGAGGAGCGCGGCCTGCAGAAGCAAGTGAGGCTGTGGTTAGCTCGGAGGTAGTGTGTTTCTATCGTGCACGCTCAGACAAAGATACAAGGCGGTGAGAGGGTGAGAAGGCACTGCAGGCCCTGTTGTGGACGGGCTCTCCCCTGGCCTTTCACTCCAATGCCAGGAGATAAGTAATAGCATCATCCCCATTTTACAGATGAGAAAACTGAGAATTAGGCAGTAAATCACCCAAGGTTCTGTGGCAGGTAAGTGGTAAAGCTAGGACATGGAGCAGGGAGAGCCAAAATGGAAATGAAAACAAGAGAACTGACTGGGGCCAGGCCACTTGAAGCTTTCATAACTTGCCAGGGCATTTGCTGGCAAGAGAAGGGACTATAAAATGAAGTCAGCTCAACATGGCTTAATAGCCATGTTGTTTTTGCTTATAAAATGGGTTCAAATGTTTGTTTCTGTCTCTACGATCAAGCTCTTGACCTTTCAAACTCAAGCCAAGAGCCTCCCAAGGAGAGTGTGGCGGGAAGGGCCGAGCACCTGCACGCAGCGCTCACCGAACTCTGCTGAGCCCTGCAGCCAGCAGTCCTTCCCCAGCTGAGAGCTGGACCATTGCCCCAGGACAGAGACATTTCTTTGAAACCACTGATATGAAGACTTTATTTCCTTCATAGGTGATGCCTGGCGGTCTCAGTGTAAATCCAAAGGCTGAAGAATGCACGGGCTTACTCCTGAGGACTTGCGACGATGTGGGCACCGAGTTCAGTGACCCAGCCGGCCTGGGAGTGTGTGTTCTGGGAGACCTCTCTTCTAGAACCTCAGCTCTGGAAGACCCACGAGGTGGCCTCTTGAGGACAATCTGATAATAATTCCAGAGCCTCCGGGAGGCAGAGCAGTGTAGGAGACAGACAGTGGTTTTTGGAATTAGACAGACGTGAGTTCAAATCCCAGCTTTACCACTTACCTGCCACAGAACCTTGGGTGAGTTACTGCCTAATCCTGTTTTCTCATCTGTAAAACGGGGATGATGCTATTACTTACCTCCTGACATGGGTCTGAGGAAAACACTAGGTTATAGAGTTTGTTTCTAGTAGGAGGCCTGGCACACAGTAGGCTTTCAACAAACACTGGTTCTCATTCTTCTCTCTTCTACATGCAGGTAGCATGACGGAGGCTTCCCACTCCTCAGTCCTCTTACACCATTAACCCGAGACGTACAAAGGGAAACGGAACGTCGCCTAGAGACAGGAGGCGAGAGTGCACGCTGCCTAAGAGGCAGGTAGAGGAGGGAGGCTGTTTCTCTTGACTGACTCATCAGGCAGTAGACACTGGCCTAGAGTGAGTGGGAGTTTATGCTATTGGGACACAGGTCTGCCATGCTGCAGTCTATGCTCAGGTGACCAATCGATGTGTCTTCTCACTTCTCTCTCTCTCTCTCTCTCTCTCTCTGCCCCCCCCCCTCCCCACACTCTCTGAAAAGCAATGGGAAAAATAACCTTGGGTGAGGATTAACAACAACAAAACAACGACGACAACAAATAAATGAAGAGGACTCCTGAGAACACAGCTGTGCTCCTCTACCATAAGCCACTGGGATGCTTTATATTTGGCAGCTGGGCCACAGCTGGTTTTGAAGTAAAGGCAGCTTTCCGTTCTAGTAGGTACTTTCTTGTAAACCACCCCTTACCCAACACACAGGAGCCTGGAAGCCAGAGGACAAAGAAATCCCCACTAAGACAGACAAGAATCCGCATCAATGCCCCCCGAGCCACAGACCTGAGTGAACAGGAGCGTCTCTGAGTTTCTGCTGTCCAGGCTGAGAACAAAGCGGATGGAGTGGAAAAGTTCCTGGATGCTGGCCCGGAACTGCTCCTCTTCCATCCCACACGTGGCTCTCGAGTACAGGATCCTGGACTGCACGATGAACTTGAAGAGGTACTCCAAGGCCTGGAGGTGTGGGCACAGAGGGGATGGGAAGGTGCTGAAGATGGTCGGGAACTAACACAGCAGGGAACGAAGGGCAAAGGAACAGCGAATTCTACACTAAAATCAGGTGGTGGACAATTCCAACTTGGAGACAAGCTTTTCTTTTCTTTCTTTCTTTCTTTTTTTTTTTTTACTTTTCTCCAAGTCAGCCAGTAGTTACCCGCATGGCTTCCTGGATGTGGTCCTGCCGAATCAGTTCTGCCGAGCAGTCCATGTACCACTTCAAACAGCGGATGAGCTCCCTGGGGGAGAGAGCAGTCCCAGGAACCCACTTTAATCCACACGCAATGCAGCCTGAAATGTTTTCAGCCCCGAATCAGCCACACCGGAAATAACACCTGCTGCTGAGCTAGACGGAGCGATAGGCCCACTGCCGCTGGGAGATGCTCGGATTGTCTGAGACCGGACAACACTCCCAGTCCATTACAATCACTCCTTATCACTCTCCCTGACACACATTTCTTCTTTGATTACGAGAAAGTTTTCCCAAAGTCTTGGACTGTCTGTATTTTTGTTTTGTCTAAAACTGCTGTGTCTCTACAACATACAACCATGACTAGTGAATAGTAGACTCTGAATAAAGGTGCAGAGTCCCGTGGGCCCCTCCTTGCTCAACCTTCATCCCCTCTATTTTATTTCCTCAGGAACCAGGTCAGTCGAGTGAAACAGGATTACAGGGTCAGAAGGCCTGCACGGTTACATGGCAACAGAGCACAGAGGTCAAGCGTGTAGGCCCTGGTGAGACAGCAGGGCTCACACAGAGCCTATCAGCTTCTAACTCGGTATCCTGGGGCAAGTTATTTGGTCCCTCTGTGCTGCATTCTCTCATTTAAAATATGGAGAAAACAACCGTCCATCTTGAAGCACTGGGAATACTAATGAGATGACACGTGTAAAACGCAGGGCGCCTGCTCTCCAAAGTGACATCAAGTGTCAGAGTTCCAGCAACTCCACAGCCTCACTATCCTTGGGTTTTACTTATATTTTTGCAAAATTGTGCTAATTCCTTCCATAGAAAAAGCAAGACATATTTTTGGCAGCTTTGACACCTATGAAGAAACTATGGTTTAAAATGTCAGCTGAAAACCCACAGCTTTTTTTTTTTTTTTGCAGAAATAGAGAAAAAATTTCATATGGAATCTCAAGGAACCCCAAATAGCCAAAACAATCTTGAAAAAGAACAAATTTAGAAAACTAACACTTCCTGATTTTAAAACTTAGTACAAAGTTATAGTGATCAAAACAGTGTGGTACTGGCATAAAGACAGACATCTACAGAAATAGAATGGCTCAGAAATACACCCTTGCATGTATATGGTCAAATTATTTTTAACAAGGGAGCCAAGACTACTCAATGGGGAAAAGAACAGTCTTTTCAACAAACTATATTAGAAAACTGGATATCTACATGCAAAAGGATGAAGTCGAACTCTTATGTTATACAATAAACAAAAATTAACTCAAAATGGATCAAAGACCTACATGTAAGAGCTAAAACTTTAAAACTCTTAGACAAAAACATAGGGGTAAAGCTTAATTACATTAGACTCAGTAATGAATTCTTGGGTCTAACATCAAAAGCACAGGACACAAAATAAAAAATAGGTAAACTGGTTTACATCAAAATTGAAAACTGTGCATCAATGGACACAAGCAACAGAGCGAAAGGCAATGGGAGAAATCTCTGCAAATTACATACCCACAGGGGTTAATAGCCACAATATATAAAGAACTGCCACAGCTCAACAACAAAAACCAAACCACCTGACTCAAAAATGGGAAAAGGACTCGAATAGCCTTTTCTCCAAATGGCCAAAAAGCATGTCAAGAGATGCTCACATCACTAATTGTTAGAAACACTCAAATAACAACCACAGTGCGATTCCACCTCACAACCTTTAGAAAGGCTCCTATAAAAAAAAATCCCAAATACAATAAATAAACAAATAAAGAAAGGAAGAAAGATAGAAAAAAGAAAACCAAACAGACAGAAAGTAACAAGTGTTGCCACGGATGTGGAGATACCGGAACCCTTGTGCACCGCTGGTGGGGATGTGAAGTGGTGCAGCCACCATGGAAAGCAGTGTGGTGGTTCTTCAATGAAGGTGAAAAGGTCAGGTGACCTTTTTTTAAGGCTCTTTCTATTCAAACTCAAGCCCTGATAAGGATGCAGACGGAACTTACTTGTATGCCAAGGCTCCAGCAAAGTGCTTCTGGATGTACGTGTCCATGACAGGCCGGAAGTGGAAATACTTGATGTCTCTGAGCAGGTTGATGATGAACACCTGGCGGAGATACCAGGGTTCACTGGAGGCCTCAGCCCTATCCCCAGCACCAAACAGAACTCTTTCTTCTTCAAGGAATGGCAAACCGTCAGTGTTTTATCTAGTGCTCCCCGTGGGCGGCGAACGTGTGCTTTCCATCCTGAGCCTGAACTGCTGTCTGTCTGCTCTGTTCTTGCCTCTCCTGGACTCCCAATCCAGACCTGGCTCCACTGTCTGCCAGTGTTGCTCTGAGCCTCTTCCTAATAATGCTGGGTATACAACACGACCCAGGGGAAGGCAAAACAATACTTGTGCAGGTGCATAAATGCTAATGCATCTCAGACACTTGGGAAAAGAGGGAGAAAGGATTGTCCTCGGAGCCAAATTAGCCAAGAAAGGCTGTGCCCTTCAGAAATGGGGCTGGCCAGCCAGGGCAGTGAGGAGAAAGAAAAGCCGAAGGGGCAACTATGCCAGTGCCATTCTGCCTCTGCCCTCGTCTATCGGGTAGACTTGGAGTATCTGGGTCTCCCTGAATATACAGCCTCCCGTGGGACTGGATATGTTAAGCAAAGTGCACGAAACACCTAATCACTGTCCATTCTCACTAAGCAGCCTCCTGCGACTCTTGGCTCCCAAACGACTTCACAGAGGGGGGGCCAGCACGAGGGCGTCTCTGCTTGTCCTGGTGCTTATAGCCACGTGTGTGTGAAGGAATGGACCGCCTGCTCCCCGTGGTCGTCTCTGGGCCTATTTCAGGGCCTGGCAACTCTGCAGCTGTGATGAGACCGAGTATCAGAACCACAAAGTTGAGGCCTGGACCTGACCATGCTGCACTCTGCCCATTTGATCTCGCAGGGATCTGCCTGGTCGGTTGGTTGGTCTTGGGTGATACTCCTCAGTCCCTTTTGTACAGGAAACATCCGAACCTTGTGCTGACTCACTCTAATAACTTACTTCCCTCCTTTCAAAAAGATGTGGCAGGAGGAAGGAAAAGCCCGGAAGGATGAGACTCACCAGAGACTGGAACACCAACAGGCCGTACTTCTCTGTGTTGTCATCCAAAATCACAAAGAGTGTGTCTAAGATGTCCTGCAGAAACTGCAAGAGCACAGACGTCAGGGCTCCGGTCCCGGGGCCTGTTCCAGGCACCAATGCACTTACCTCCCAATAAACAACCTCAAAGACCTAAGGTCTCAAACCACCACTTACGAATAAGCTAAAGGGTTCACGAGGTGGACTTGGGGTATGTGCTGACAGCCCAGAGGAACAGAGAGACGCTTCCTGTCGGGAAAGTGCTAAACTTGTAAGGAAAGAGCAAGTACCTAAAAGCCTAGGACATCCATAGAGGAGAGCAATTTTAAAACAAGACAATCTAGGTGATTCTAATGCCAAATTCATTTTGAGAAAAAGAGCTCACTTTCCTGGGACCTCAAAAGTTCAGCCGTCCCTCGCTCTCTACGGGCCTAACTCCATACAGGACATTGGGGTGAGGATGTGGCCAGGGACGCCCTCCCTACGGAAGCCATGTTCTGATCTAGAAGTTAGTGGCCCAGAGAGGAGAAGGCAGCCTGCGAGGCCCGTCACTGGGGAAGGGCCTGGAAGCATTGCCTCTTGCTGCTGCTTGTGTTTAGGGCACTTGCCTTTCTGAGACACAGACGCCAAGGGGGAGAAGACACACTCTGGGATGCAGTGGTCTTTAAAGATCAAAGCTAACGTTCTGCTGGTCAGAACGCAATGGAATAATACCATGCTTGCAATTTACTTCAAAAGGATGTAAGGTGGGAGGTGTGGCTAGGGACTGGATGGGCAGGGTTTGCCATGGGCTGGCGCGGGTGTTGAGTACACACAGGGCTCTTTATACTATTCTGTCTACTTTTGTGAGGTGTGAAATCTTCCAATAAAGAGTGAAACGCTAGTGTGTTCTCCCCACACTCTCTCTGGCTGGCCTGAGACAAATGACTGGTGCTGAGACCACACCTGCTGGTAGAATGTTCTCCTGTGAGGAGTACAACCAGCTTAAAAGATCACAGGCTCTCCTACTGTCTGTTCACTCGATGATATTGTGAACATGCTCAGAAGGAGAAATGCCCTGAGGATGAATTTATCATAAGTTTCAAAAACTAGGATGAGCTTATTTGTTAAGAGATCTTTCTAAAATGTATGATACCCTGATCGTAGAATTAAAACAGAGCTCATCCACGACTTCGTAGAAGTGCACAGAGGGACACACTGTTCCTGATTTGCAGATGCCGTGTTGTGTGTTATGCAGTCAACGGAGCTGTGAAAGGGAAGTAGAAACAGCGCGTCGCTGTCTGATACTTGTGATGACAGAGCCAAGAATGCTCATGTGGACAGGCAGCCTCCTGAGATTCTGTCTCTGTCCTACATTCTGTTGCTCTTGCTCATCACCAAAAGCACCCCCCCTTTCCTCAGTGCAGTTCAGTCCATTGTGGGGAATCCACCTGTGGGGCTTTCGCCAGCGGAAGTGCCTGGGGGTTTCCTGAGCTAGAACCAGGGGGGCCAACACTCTGCGCAGCGTGGAGGAGCCCACAGAGACAGCTGGGATGGCGGTACCGCTGCTGCCTGCTCGGCCATCAGATGGGAATGTCGCATAGGAACTTGGGGCAAGCGGTGGAGGCAGAGAGTAAGGACGTTTCCCTGCCATGGACGCTAAGGGAGAGATGGGGCAGACTTAGTTCTTCTAGAATCCAGACCAGTGGTCGGCAAACTCATTTGTCAACAGAGCCAAATATCAACAGTACAATGACTGAAATTTCTTTTGAGAGCCAAATTTTTTAAACTTAAACTATATAGGTAGGTATATTGTTATTAACTTAATTAGGGTACTCTAAGCTGGTCTTTGTTAAAAACGTCCTCAATCTGATTGAGGTACGTTCGCTGAGGTCGACCCCTTCCAACTCTCCCATCCACACTCGTCTTGTAGACTTGTTTCAGATAGCGGAAAGACATCAGGCTGGGTGGTGAGAGGGTTACAAAGTAAGGAAATGAGAAAGACCCCAAGGAAGGGAAAGGAGGCCTACAGGAGTGCAGGCAGCACGGGGCATGGGACCTAAGGGGAAGCCAGACCTTAACGATCTCCTCTCCGCTGACGTGCCGCAGCCGCCCCAGGATGTCCATGATCCTGTCTGGAAAGGCCTTCCACTTCAGCAGAGCAAGGAGGTCCACTAGAAAGCAAGCCGGCAGGGGGTGAGCCCTGGCTGAGCCAAGGACAAGCAACACCCACTCTCCCAGACACGGATAGCGGGGGCGAAGGGGGGCAGGCCTAGGGAACAGAAATAGCTGTGAGCGTGGCCACAGCCTCTTCAGTGCTGAGATCAAGGCCAAAGACACATCTGTGAACTCTGGGTGTGCACTCGGGAGCTGCCAAACACAAGGGAAACCCCAGAGGCTGCTACTGCCAGTGATTCCTTCAGCTTCGATGACAAGGATCCCCTCACTGCGGTAGGACAGCAGTAATTCCCGTCTCCCTTAACATGTATCAGCAACGGAGGGAGGGGAGGGCACCCCTGCGGCGCCGTCACCTACCGTTCTGGGTGAGCTTGGTGGAGGAGAGCTGCGTGGAGATGAAGAAAGACTCTTTGGTGCTGCGCTGGAAGATGAGGCTGGAGGGGATGTTAGGGCAGCCGTTGTAGTCCTCTTTGCAGCAGGGCAGGCCCAGGTACAGGGCATGGTTGTTAAACGTGCTGTTCTCATCACACTGCGGGCAGAAGCAGAGAACAGAGTCCTTCCTGACCGCGCCACGTGTACAAGTCAGGTCCCAGGGGATTTCTGGTTGCTGTTTGTGCTCTGTCCAGAAACTCCCCAGCATGGCTGACATGCCTTTTAAATATATATATATTTTTATTGACTTCAGAGAAGGAGAGAGAGATAGAAACATCAATGATGAGAGAGAAACATTGATCAGCTGCTTCCTGCATGTCCCCCCCCCCCCGCCCCCCCGCAACTGGGCATCAAGCCCGAAACCCGGGCATTTGCCCTGCCCGGGACTCAAACTGTGACTTCCTGGTTCATGGGTCGATGCTCAACCACTGAGCCACACCTTGTACACGTAGAGCTCGTGGATGTCATCGGAGAGAGTGGTCCCGTCATCCCGCATCAGGGGCGAGAAGGCAAAGCCGAAGAGCTTCTTTTCCCCTTTGTCCTTCGCTGTAATCACAGCCAAGTGTTAGTTGTTTTAGCCCCCAATTTGCGTTTAAATTTCAAACCCCCCTGTGCTTACCACCTAGGTCTTTACTTCTTTGTCCCTCACTTTCATTTACTATCGACCTGACTGCAGGAGCGGTAAGAAATGCACTGGGCTGTGTGTCCACTGATATCCCAGGGCCCAGGCTATCTAGACCTAAAGAGAGACAAAACTGCGGGTCTTGGTTAGCCTGAGGCTTTCTAGGAAGCAGTTGATACACAGGGAACACCCACAGGGAGCGACACCAGCCATCACCCAGCGTCCAGGTCAGACACCAGGAGCAAACAATACCCAACCCCCTGGGTTTCTGTTGTTTTACTGATTGCAAAGAGGGAGGGAGAGGGAGAGAGAGAAACATCAATGATGAGAGAGAATCATTGCTGGGCCGCCTCCTGCGTGCCCCCTACTGGGGATCGAGCCCGCTACCTGGGCTTGTGCCCTGACTGGAATCGAACCTGGGACCCTTCAGTCCAGAGGCTGACGTTCTATCCACTGAACCAAACCACCTAGGGCCAACCCTCTGGTTTGAAATCACTGTCCAGAGAACAGCCTCTGATGACATCCCGTCTCTGAATGGCCATTTCTTCACAACTCCTCGTTTTCTTGCCCCAATAATAACCCTCTCAAGTCTGTTCCGGGGTGGGAAGAGTTATATTCCTATCCCCTAAGGAATGTGGGGTCTCACTCACTGGAACAATGTCTGAACTCGAAGCGCAGGTGGGAGCCGCGGAAGCGGTCGATGGGGATGGGCAGTTTGACGATCTCTCCCCAGCGAGGACTGTTATTGTGGTAGAGGACGAACGAGTGGTAGGAGCTTCTGTTTGGCTCTCCAGAACCCAAGCTGATGCAATCCTGGAAGAGAGAAGCAAAATAAGGTGTCATTTCCTGAGGGCCCGCGATGTCTCTGCCTCTGGGACCCTGTCTCTCGTGCAGGTCTCATCGCCCTGCCAGGCGGATGTGTAAGAGGAGGAACTTCATGGGGCCTAAATTCACTGCTTTTGGAAACAACTGTGTGGACGGTGCAAGGACTCGCAGTCACCGTGCCCGCTTGCCCTGGGGCAGAGGTAACCGCACACACTGCAGCAAACCGGGCGCTGAGTGGGGTGCCTGATGCCCTGCGGTGGGTCCTGCATCCTCACCGAGAAAGCGAACAGTGGACTCCGCGGGAGAATTCAACTGTGCCTGGCACACGGCCAGATCACAAAGATAATGAAATGCCGAAGTGGAGAGAGCTGGTTTCCTAACCGCCCTGAGCCCCGCGCTGTGCTGGCACCTTAGGCTGCCCCCAGCGGGCTGTCCTTGGCTACAACGAGGAAGGCAGGTTTAACTTGACCCGGGTTCCCAAACACTGCCGTGAAGATGCGCCGGGGCTGCCCGGGCTCCCTGGAGGGCAGGAAGCCGCACGGGTGGGGGGTGAACACGGACAGCTCTGCTGACCTCGGTAGGACTCCCATGCAAACAACGGACATGCCTGAATCCCGGAGGTGGGCTTTCAAAGTGACAAATCACTGTTTTGACCAACGTTTCAACGTTCTCCTTTATTTCTTCCTCGCGGTGGGAGGTGATTTTGGCTAATTTTACCCTTTTCTTCTGTAAAATGTGGATGACTGTTCTTGTTCTGCCCACCTCGCAGGGCTGCTGTCAACACACAGAGTGAGGACTGAAAGACTGACTTGCAGTCAAGTGCTCTGCAAACGAGGCCATGTGAGTTGCGAGGAACTGCACCCCGACATGACGGAGGGGAAACTGACACTGACAACAGGAAAGCAGCCAGGTCTTCACTTCCAATGAGTGACAGCATCCCTGCGGTGCACTGGCCGCAGGTAATCGCAGGGCTTGAGCCTGTTGTTCCGTGTCCCGGAACTTGGCACCAGCCGGGGAGGACCTAAGTCTCGCCCTGGACCAAGAGCAAGTGGAACTTCCTGTAGTAGCTCAAGGATCAAGGGTGGGATCTAGCAAGTTACGGGAAATAGGCAGCTCGATGCGAGGTGGGACAAGCCAGGGAGCAGGTCTAAGCTGGAGCAGGAAGGCGTCGGGCAGACCCAGGAAGAACGCTAGAGGCTGTGACACTGGGAGTGTCAGCAGGGCGCGCCGAGGGCTCCCCGGCGAAGGAAGAGGCAGAGCAGAACGCACACGGGTGATCCGAGCTCAGTCCTGCCCGAGGGTCCTGGACAACGTCCACAGGATGGAACAGGAGGGCCACTTCAGGGTCAGCCTCCGTTCCAAACTGGCTGGAAGCCTTACCTTCAAGATTTCTCCATCTGCATAAAGCACGTACATGGTCACTTCAATATTCTTTTGCACACTCTTTCCCCCTCGCTCGAAATCCCCCTTCTCCAGGGTTAGGTACAGGTCATTGCGGATGTCGCCTGCGGGGGAAGAAATGCCGTGTCTCCGTGACCCCAGAAGCCACACTGTCCCCTGTGCGTGGAGGACCAGGCTAGCGATGGCGCCTCCGGGGTTCGGGTGGGTGCTCAGGGCATTCCAAGCTTGGTTAATAACGATGGACACCCTACAGCACCGGGGGAGGGGCACGCGGCTGCTCAGCCACGTGCTCCGAGTCTGCGCTCCGCAGGGCTGAGCACAGCTGTGCGCGAGGGAAGGGCGGGCGGAGCACCTTCTCAGAGGGCAGGTGGCTGCTCGGGCTCTCTCCCCTCCAGGAGGCAGCTGCTCTCTCAGCCGCTGCAGAGATTCTAGAATCCACTTCAATCAGGTCTTGTCTATGTTTTAACTAGCCCCTCCTCCTCCCCCTAAGAAAAGTTTCCTTTTGATTTTCTAGGTTTTCTTTCTGCAGCCCTCAACGCCGCCGAGTCTGGCTGAGGCCGAGCTCCCAGGCCCACTGCCTGCTCAGTGCCGGGCAGGTCACTGCGTGACAAGTGCCTGGGAGCAGGTGACGCTCCTCCAGAGGCACCGGTGCTGAAGCCCAGGGACCACCTGCTGTGTTCCGGCTGCTTCCCTGGGCCCTGGCTCCAGCCCACGTTGCCCAAGACAGGCAGAAGCTGGAACCGCCGTCCGAGACGCCCGTAGTGACGCCTGCCTCTGGGGTGGGACTGCCTGTTCCTGTATGAGAAGAGCCCATGTAGCTGCTCTAAGGTTGCCCATACGTGACACGGTGAGTTCTAGTCACACTTTCTAAAGGGCTTCTGACTGAAAAAACAACAAAAACATGGTAAAGGCTGGGGGGGAGGGGGAGGGATTTTCCAAAAAAGAAAGCAGCAAAGGAAAGCGGGGAGGCCGAATGAAGATGCCCGCAGCCTCCAGAGATGAACTGAGAGAGGAGGGCTGGCTGGCACAGGCGGCCTTCAGAAGCCAGCCAGCCTGTCTCCCCGTCGTCCTCAGAAACAGGGCCCATCTGATCGGCTCAGGCCTTGGAACCACAATGAACAGGTTCTGCTTTTGGTTCGCAGGTGAGCTTTCTGGCTGCGTCAGACATGGCCGGGGCCTCTTTTCTGACTGCGGGAGTGTCTGTGGATCTCGTACGCATGGCTCAGCGACAGACCAGGACTGGCACACACCTTGGGCTTCTGAGGCCTTCATGATCAGACCTTCTATTCGTCAGGTTACCTCCCTATCCCAGGAGTGCAATCATGGCGATTTGGTCGCATAATGAAGCTCTCAGAAGACTTTGTCTCAAGTAGGGAAGAGCAGCCCATGAGAAGAATTAATTAGCAGCTCAGAGAAAGCCATCTTGCTCCTCAAGGAGCCCTGAGGCTGCCATGCTGGGGAGGCGGGCCGCCGAGAGGCTGTCCTTGCTGCCGCACAGGCGGTCCTCTTGGGCCAAGTGGAGCCTCCACTTGGAGTCCTACCACATCACTAACAGAGCACTCCGGCCTGCGGTGACGAGGACAAGCAGAAGGGAACTCAAATTTATCAACTTGCTACCATCAGGACAGAAGCTGAATAAAATCAGTCCTGAAAGTAAGATTCAAAATTAACTGGGAACGTTACTGTGGGTTATTGCTATTATAATGGGATAAATCAAAGTCGGTTATACCTTTAATTTTTAACAATTGACACAGACATGCCAGAGCCTTCTTGTGATAAGAAACCTTTTAGTTACACATTAGCTTTTCTATGGAGTTTAAATAATTATTCAATTTCTAGGCTGATTTGGCAAAAAAAAAAAAGGTGAATAATCTAGAGAATTTTAATGTCTAACCCAGAGAATAGGTGCTTTGCTTAAATATTATCCTGGTTTTAACCAGAACTCTCTGGAAATTACTTTCAAGGTAATCCACGTGAATTTTATTTTATTATTTTTAAAATTTTTTTTTACTGATTTCAGAGAGGAAAGGAGGGGGAGATAGAAACGTCAACGATGAGAGAGAATCATTGTTCCACTGCCTCCGGCAGGAACAGGGATGGAGCTCGCAACCCGGGCATGTACCCTGACTGTGAATCGAACTGTGACCTCCTGGTTTGTAGGTCGACACTAACCACTGAACACGCCGGCCCGGCAGGTTCTTTGCTTTTCTAACCATGTCTTCTGTGTCACAGGTCTACTGGTTATATTGTTATGAAGTCAGGGACGTTCCCTGCTGTAACGGGACGACAGGGATGGGCACAGTGACCTCACTATATATGACAATTTCTTTCCTGGGCTGACAATGTGATGATCTTTCAACCTGTTGTGGGCCAGAGGTGACCATCCCTAAACCATCCCTTACGCATATCGCCAAGGCCTCGTCTGGCAGCAGACGGCCCGGGGCCTCTGCACCGTGGGACTCCCACCGCTCCCGTGAGGAGAGCTTCTTTCAAAGACCGGGCCTCTGTGTTTGCCTTTGTGCTAGGTGCCCAGCAGAGCTGCAAAGAGAAGCTTTCTGCCCTCTGGTTCTGTGGGGCTTGGACTAAGCCCGCTCGCTTTCTTTTCAATGGGAGTAGCTGGCCTGCCTCATAAGAACCTTTCCCTGAGCTGTCGCCTGGGGCTTGGTAAGGGGTTCTAAACCTTCCCAGGTCTCCTTCGCTTCCTCAGATCCTAATGCTCACCCAGAGTAACACGCAGTCTTCTAGGCCGGGCTGGTGGCTTCTCTTCTTACGTCTTGTCAGTTACCCCAAAAGGTGAGGCTGATGAAGGATTAATAATGTACATGACGCCCCACCCCAGTATTGCAACATTCCATGGAACAAATGAAGATGGAAACAAAGCAGGCAAAAAGCAGACAGGACACACAAAAGCAGGAACTTACACCCAACTATCTTCATCTCTGCACCAGAAAGAAAGGGGCGAGAATGAGGGGACAGCACAGAGAGAAACAAGAACAATTAAGACAAACAGGAAAAGAGAATAAACATCACTTGCAGGTCGCGATGAAGCATGCACTTTCACCAGGGGTCAAAGCACAGGCAGAGTGTTCCTGAGCTCCAGGGAGAACCACCGGGCCCCCAGAGACTCAGCATGCCTGCAGCGCTGCCTTGTAAGGACAAGTTCAGGGCAGCGCAGAGGAGCAGTACTGGTGCCAGGGCTGACTCGGGAGGGCAAGCATCCCTCAAGCAGCATCGCCACCACCTGAGTGCTTGTGAGAAACGCCAATTGCTGGGCCCACCCCGCATCCTCCCGTAGCAGAAACTCTCGGGGTGGGCGGGCCATCTGTTTCCAAGCCCACAGGCGGTTCTGACACACACTAAGTGAGAGAACTACGCTTCAGGGAGAGCGCAGTCCTCAGGACACACTAAGTCAAAGGGCAGATTTCTTCTGACAAGACAGAAAACCGTTTAACTAATAAAAAGCATAGACCATACCGCTCACAGTAAATAGCCTTAAAAATTCAAGGTTACAAAAACAAGTGAAAATGCTGTCATCCGCACAGAGCCCAGAGGACTTGGGGCAGCCGCAGGGAAGCTAAGAAGCAGAGAGGCTGGAGGAGTGGCGCCCGGGCCGGGGCTCAGGCGCGGTCTGGAAAAGGCACAGCCTTTTCTCGAGCAGGAGGTTTCAAAGCGTCCCTTTCTGTTTACAGTCTTTTGGCCGACAGCTTTCTTTAAGTTTTTTGAGGGCTAATCTGACAAGTGCGTTCCTGGGAACCGTGCTAACTTCAGCCTGTTCACCTGGAACACCTGTCCTGTTCCCATCTTTCTTGCCCATCTTCTTGAAAAAGATCTAGGAAAAGAGCAAAAGTGTGCCACAGACTTACTCGCTTTTGTACTGAACTAAGTGAGTTTGGAGGGAAGGAGAACTGCCACAGAAATGTGACACAAACTAAAGGCTGTAAGTGCCCAGTTTCAAAATTTGGCTTAATCCCCCATATCTATTTGTTCTATAATCTAGAAGTCAGGGCCTCGGCTATGGCACACAGTAGGGCATCTCCTGCTCACAGCAGTCACGTGGTGTGCATGCACACACCATGAAAAGAATGGGAGACCATCAGAAAGACCTTTTCGGAAACGGTGCGCGGCGCTCGTGTGGCTAGAGCCTGTCGGGCTCCCACTGCAGTCGCTGCTCTGTGACTCAGAGCTGCGAGCTATCAATGCGCTTTGACAAGGACGCGCCCGGCCACCCCGAGAAAAGCTCTCCAAATGAGCGCTGCCCACTGCTGGCATCTTAAAGTAAGGGTCACAGGTTAGGAGTAATTCTGTTTTTTTACGTTTACTCTAATTGCTCAGCCGTAAGTGTTGAAATGTTCACAGTTACTGACAATTTATTTCTTTGCTCATTTCCCATAGATCCATGTGTCAAGAAGCTGCAACTTCGTGTAACCTGGTCACTGTGAGGGCTGCGAGACCGCTGCAGCCCCGGGGCGATGTTCCTCAGGGAAGGACAGACCCGCTGCAGGGGGACAAGTAGCCAGGCTTGGAGTCTCACCGAAGGGCGTGTTAGCACAGTCACGGTTTCCCAAGACGGGCTGCCTGCAACGTGAAACACCCAGCACCTTTCCTGCTGCTGCAGCGGGGCCTGCAGGCCAGCCTGTCACCTGCCCAGGGACGCAAACCCACTCTGGTAACTCGGGGTGCGTAAGGGGCTGGCAGTTGTTAGCTCACAACTCTGGGCGTGGTCATCTGTTCAAAAGCTCTCCCCTCAGGGGAGGAAGGGTAGAGGAGGAGCAGCTTTCTGCCCGTGAACCACGCTTCCTGTCAGCCTCAGCACCCAGCAGGCTGACCCACAGCCCAGCCTGGACCTACAAGATGGCCAGTGCCGGGGCTTGTGGTCGCTCAGCTGCCCGGGGCAGGAAAGCTCCTGAACCTCAGCTTGTCTTACCACCGGCGGCTGCAGCCGATTTCCATGGCGACGTCTAGATACCCCCAGTCCTTTCCACACCTGTGTGCCAGAAGCAGAGGCAGAGCGCTCCACAGGGTCCTCTTTCCACAAAAGGTTTGGACAATGTCACTTTGGAAAGCAAAGTCTGCTTCACAACATTTCACTGGCGCTTGTTCCTTTCTAGGGTCTGCTCACTGGGTTTTAAAGTGTGAAGACTAATAGGAAGGAAATGTCCAAATCTTAGACATTAAAGGGAGGACTTTAAACACCTCTCAGAATAGACGGCTCCACCTCCGAAGCCTGGATATCTCACCTAAAAAGATCTGGGTAACCACCAGCTTTCTCCCATGACACGTTGCCAAGAAGCCAGGGACTCACCTGGGCTCTTTTCCCGCTAACGGGGCCATAGAGGGCTGAGAAGTGGTCCAGGAGAGGAGAGGAGAAACATCCCGCGAAGGCCTCACCTCTCCAGCAGCCACCCCTAAGCCGTTCTTGAGCACCAAGCCTCCTCAGCATTCACAGGTGAAGGTGGATTGGCTGAGCGGCCCAGGTTTCCCACCCGAGGACCCTCCTCATGTGCATGAGCAGAGACGAAGCTCTCCCCGCAGCTTGCTCTGCATGCACAGCGTCTGTGGAGCGGCATCGAAGGAGCAGAAAACAAGTCTGGGCCTAGTGTGGGAGGTGGGAGGCAGCTGGGACCCGGCACATGGGCCTTCTCTGTGCGCAGGCCACACTCCCCTTGGGGCTGCGCTGGCAAACATTTACAACAGGAGAATTCCGGCCGCCACGAAGAGTTCCAGACGGGATGTTTACGACTGAGTGCCCACAGTCAGTCAGTCCAGCCCGGCCTGGTCCTCTACACAAAGCAAACGAGCCTGTAGCACATCATTCACACTCAGTGGGAAGGGCAGATTCCTAGCTCCTGTCATCTGTCCAGATAACCAGCAATGTGTCTGTTCTGATTGTCCTCGCTTTGCTCGCATCTGCTCTGGTTCTCAGACCGCCTGCCATCCCTCCGAGACCCCCTCTACCTCCCCTCACTCCTGTAGCCCCTGACTCCGGTGGCCTGGCTGACCCACTTCCCAGCTGTTCCCGCACCTGCCTGGCTAGGAAATATGAACCTGGGATTGACCTGCTGGGCCCGCACTGGAGGTCAGTGGGCCCCCACTTTCTGCCTTGGCTCTCTGGGCCCTCGATGGGGGGTGGGGGCTGGGATATTTCTGAGAACTGGCCAGGCCGTACAATCCAGTCCACAAAGCCTGACTGATACCATCTGTCTTATCCACTTTCTAAAACGTTAAAATGCACCTGCTATTCCCACATGAAGTGGGACCCGGCAATGCCACAGGCACACATTCTGGTTATTCCTCCCCTTAAAGAGGAAGTGCTTGTGAGCCACTCCCTCCGAAGGAATGGACCGGGAGAGAGGAGTGTGGAAGGCCTCGCATGAGGTTCTTTGGGAGTTGCTGCCACCCACTCCACTCCGACAACTCAGCCCACCGGCCACCAGGAGGTGGGGCCGCTGGCTGCAGACACAGTCGCAAGCTGACTTGGGACGCAGAGGTTTTCAGTGGCTTAGGCTCCCCCACAGCAGAGTTGAGCAACCGCTGACGAGAGAGCACGGGACTGATCCCAGCCCTCCTCCCACCCAGCCCCGAGAGGTTCTACCTACCTGGCATGATGACATCAGGAAATCCCAATTTCCTTGTAATCGCCAATCCCCTGCTAAATATCATGGGGTTTTCTCTCCGTATCTGTTCCATGTCTCCGCGAAGAAGCTGAAGAGAAATGATAAGGCCTGCAAAACAAAGGCAGTTTCTCCCTCAGACCACGTCCCGCCTGTCCTGTGGTGCCAGGAAAGACAGGGCCACACTGTTTCCAGAGGAAAACGTGTGAAGTTCAGCATTTTTCTTGAGAAAAATCTTGATGCAGAAAATATGTATTATTCTGAAGGAACATTCCAGAAAGCTAAAGGAAGTTAAGTCAGGATGACCTCAGTGACCCTGAGAACTCGTCTATTAAACACAGACGGGGCTCCTGGAGACCCAGCCTTCAGCCCAGGGCCAGGTGGGTCCTACTGGGTATTGAAGGGGAGGGCTGACACATGACCTGTACATGTAGGGACCCAGAAAAGCCTACGGAAACAACAGTAGCCTAGGACAGTGTGACCAGAGAAGACCTTGTGTCAGGGAGTCCCACCAGCTGGAAACGAACACACTAAGAGATGCTGGGTTTATGCTAGGAGAATGCCCGTGTCGGAAGCAGTGTGCCCGTTTAACCTGGCACCGTCTTGTAAAGTGAGCAGCAGAGCAGACACCACATGGCTCCGACAGGGAACCCCCGCAGTGCAAGGAAAAGAAGGGGTGTTGCTGTGAGGCTAGGTCAGCCATGTCTCAGACTCTGAGTTTCAGACCCTCCAGATGATCCCAAGGCCTTTCTTCAGAACTTGGGAGAATCTGTAATGTCCCCTCAGACAAGCTGCCTTCTGGCTCATTACCTGTACCTCTGGAGTTTTGCACAAAGTAAGAATCTTCTGGAAACTGCCCCTGCCCTGCCCCACAAGGGGCCCCTTGCAACCACTGGCTAGAAGGCTGTGGATCAAGCCTAGATGGGAGTGAGGAAGTGCCTCCAAGACTGAATGAGAGTAGCTGTGGACGGATACATTTAGGTGCTGGTCAGCAGGAAGCAACCTCAGGGATGTAGAGACTTGGGAGTTGAGCAGGAAATGAACATCTAAAACGGGGGGAGCTGTGATGATAATTAGGACAATCAGGAGAGCGATGGCTAGGAGGAGACAGTGACAAGCGAAGCTGCAGAGTAAGAGTGGGAGAGGGAGAGGATGGAGAAGTGGAGAAAGGAGTCAGGTAGAAGAGTCACAGGCACTAGGAATATGTACTCTCACAGCGGGGCCAGGGGAGGAAATACTACAGCCCAGCCAGAACCTCAAGATGACCTCACTGCTTCAGTGAATAAGCTCACGCTCCCCAAGAAACCTGCGATTATGTCTACGATGGGCCAGGTGTCATTAACACCAGATCGCAGTGCCTAAGAGCAGACCCATGGCATTCACTTCGCATTCTGGGCAGATAATCCGTGTTGGGGTTCTGAACACCCTACAGTAATGTTTTCCAGCCTAATCGCTTGGTAGACTCAAGTACAATTAGTTTATGAACCTGAAAGGCTGGGGCCCAGAATCCAGACCACAGCGATCTCTGTAGAGGAGAGCAGCCTGGGAGGTACTCAACGCCCCCCGCCCCCGCAGCTCATCTACCTGCAGTGTCTTTACACAGCCATCCACTCTTTCTCTGGGTGAACAGGAACCCACACCCCTAGGGACAGCCTACTGGAACTGCTAAAAGTTAGGTCTGTGGCTACATACATAAGAGGCCAACAATGGACACGAGGAACCACGTGCATTAAAGCTGCACTTAAGAGAGTTCCTGCCAAGTGATACATTAACTCTCAGCTCGCAAATCAACGTAGCAATTCCTTCTGCATTTTCATATGATTTGACTTGAAGGGAAAGCACTTACAATTTCTTTAACAAAAAGGACATTTAACAAAGATGGGTGACAGTTACAGCAAAGTCAATTTTTTATACGGAAGTCTCTTTAAATAAAGAGACTAATAGAGACCTGAACTATTCCCCTCGCGCGACCTGTGGGATTCTCTGACATGAAGACCCCAGAGCCCAGCGTGGAAGACCCGGCTCAGAAGCTGGTAAGAGAGTGGAAAGGCCAGTGGCCTGGAGTTTAGAAACCTGGCCACTTCTTTCTTGTTCAGCCACGAAGTCATTTCATTGAGCGTCAGTTTCCTCATTTACTTAATGAAGAGATGAAAAAGGTAATTTCCAAACCTCAACCAGCTTCCAGTCAGGCCTGCCAAGAATCAGTCAGACACACAATTCAAAAAGCAGCAGCTTGTCTTTCCTTCTGGCTTTCCCACAAGTGCATGCAGCCGTCTTCTCACAATGGCCTCCTAGCTGAGGCGCCCTGAAGGCTGCGGTGCCCCCAGCACCACAGGAACAAGTGCTTTTTCTTTTTCTAAAAAATATGTTTTTATTGATTTTAGAGTGAGAGGGAGAGGGAGGAGGGCTAGAAACATTGATGCGAGAGAAACATTAATCGGCTGCCTCCTACACGCCCCCTACTGGGGATCAAGTCCACAACCCAGGCATACGCCCTGACCAGGCATCGAGCCGATGACCTCTTGGTGCATGGGACGATGCCCAACTGAGCCACACTGGCTGGGCGAACATGTTTTTCTAAAACTGTTTAAACAGCCAGTGTCTGAGTTCTGGACAAAAACCATAGATACTGAAGATGGCACAGTCCCTGCTCATTCTGGGGAGTAAGACAGAAGTCAGCACCATAGCCTGGTGAGGTGATGGTATTGGTGAACTGCTCTTTCAGCTGTTGCTTTTAATGTACTATTACCACCATCTCACGTTTAAATGTTCTCCATGTTTTAATCATATCATGTGTCAAGAAATTACAGTCAAGGGCAGCTCTTTATAAATCAAATAAGTAAATAAAACAAGGAACATGACAAATATTGATGTGAAGGGTAGTTTTCCAAAATGCTAGTAAGTTTCGATACTTGAAAAACAAGATTTTCCTGCCTCTTGCTTCAGCCCAGTTGTAGGTGAGGAATATGGACTTATCACACTGCACGGAGCTCTTTGGCATCCAGGCACACCCATCAGGGAAACAGTCACTTAAAACAACAGGGAGAGGCCCTGAGGGCCCCATGCTGCAGAGCTTTAGGGAATCAAGGACTCCCAGCTGAGGTCTCAACCCTGTAGTCTCTGGTGTGGGGCAGCTCTGAGGACTCTGCGAGTGGAATATCTCTGACCCTGACAGAGGGGGTCAAGTTCTCAACAGCTCCGGGAACTGCCAGGCCTTCCAGTGGCTTTACACTGCCATTTAGGGCCAACTTTTTATTTACAATCTATGAAAGTTAAAACAAATAAGGTTATGTAAGAGATTATGAAATAACTTAGAGAGGTTAAAAACTGTCAAGAGAAACATGGCTACACGTAAATTTGAGAGCTACCTGTGGGGTATATAAAAGTTCATAGGCTGCCCTGACTGGTTTGGCTCAGTGGATAGAGTGTTGGCCTGCGGACTGAAAGGTCCCAGGTTCGATTCCAGTCAAGGGCATGTACCTTGATTGCGGGCACATCCCGTGTGGGGTGTGCAGGAGGCAGCTGATCGATGTTTCTCTCTCATCGATGTTTCTCTCAAGAGAAACACGGTTACACGTAAATTTGAGAGCTACCTTTAGGGTATATAAAAGTTCATAGGCTTTTAAGTAGTGCTTCTAATTTAATCAAGCAATTAATGTTCGATTTATAAAACAACCATTCTAATGTGCAGAACTGCACCAAAATTTAGACAGAAACTATAGAAATAGGGCTCTAAAAGAAAAGGAGGAAAAAGGAAAAGGAGAAGTTGAGCTAAGATGAAACCTGCCTGGTAATAAAGATGTTCTATTCCAGCGGTCGCCAACCTTTCGGACCTCACGGACCGCCAGTGGCCCGCGGCCCACCGGTTGGCGACCGCTGGAATCTATTCTAGCTCCAGGATGACTGACGGTGGCAGAACAGTCACTGGTTCTCATTGTGTCAGGCTTTGTTGGTGAGGCTCACACGAAACAGGAAGAGGAGAAGTGATAGTAACCTCTGTCTCTTTGGGGGGCTGGGTGTCATCTCTGCTCAGGGAAAGACAGACTCCACATGTGACAGACCCTGCAACACTTCTGCTCACTCGGGATTGACAGTGCAACTCACGTTCCTTATCAGAGCACATGGAACCGGTTGTTTGTAATTAAGAAAGGTCTCAAATGATCACAAAAAGAAATAGAGTCCTTGGGGAGGAGAAGAAATGTCTGCAGGGAACTGAACTTTACTCGTGGCCGCTGATCAGCACAATCGAGTAGGTGAGAGATTAGCAACTGCAAATACAACACGAGGCTGTATTTGCAGCCAGAGAAGTACGTCACCGTGGCTGGCACTGGGGGCGGAGTACTTGGCGCTGGACTTGCGGATGATGTTCTCGTGGATCTGCGACCACTCCCCCTCGTTGTTGCACCTGGAACAGGAGGACAGGCTTAGAGCTCTCAAGGGTCTTAAACACCTGCTCTGACGCCCCAGCCTTGCGTGTGACACAAAGTGTGAAGGGTACTTCACGCTCACTTTCCAAAAGAAGCAACTGTTTCACTGAGTTAGACAGGCTCGTTTTCTGCTGAGGCACACAGACAATTCACACTTGGGAAATTCTAAAATAAATCTCTAAAAATATTGTTCAAGAGGCAAAATACCCTCTTTTCTGAAGTAGCACTCTCCCACCTGTCAAGTTTTCTTCTTTTCTAGTTTCTTACACACACACACACACACACACACACACACACACACACACACCAAAAACAAACAATCAACAAAAACTGGGCTCAGAGGAAAGTCCCTGCTGGAGGAAACACACGGACATGCCTGGCGCCGGCTTTATTCTGTCAATCAGCTGTCATGCTGCCCCAAGAGGAGACCCTGCTGAGCACAGGGGATGTGGAGATCTGCTTGTGGCTCTATTGCAGCCAGACCAACACTTTAAAAGCCTTTGGGAGAGTCGTGGGCGTGGCTCACTGTGAAACCCTCTGCTGCAGGGGAAGGAGGGCTTAGCAGGGAAGGCAGACGCCTACTATGGGAGAATGGTGCTCTTCCCAGGGGCTTCTGGATTGGGACCAAGGAGCATGAAGGACCACACTGCACCCCACTCACGCACGGCAGGTCAGGGTCTCCCCTCTAAAGGGCAGCTCAAGGGCTGCAGCCACCCCACCCCGGTGCAGCAGGAGCAGAGACGAGCAATTCCTCACCCTAATGCAGCACGTCAATGAAACACCTGCAATCAGATCAGGGTCATCCCTTGACAATTCCATGTGACACTGGCAGTCCCCACAGTCCTGGCCCCACCCCTGCCCCTGCTGGAGCGGGAGGTAGGGACCCACTGACCCCAGAAAGGAGGACCCAGGGACAAAGGAAAATCCACAGGGTCTTCCCATGGCTGCTCAGAGGGTGGAGTCCAGCCCAGCCACTTCCAAGAAGAAACCCCAGTAAGTATGTCACGTGTACAAAGCAGTGTGAAGGCCAACCGCTTCCTAAGTGAAAGGGCTTGTGCAGAGGCCACGCTGAGTTAGAGGAGGTTGTCACTAGCTTAGCTGTGCTGCTCAATCGCTGGTTCTTCGGACTGTACCGTCAGTAGAAACAAGCCTGCAGAGAACTGTCAAGACAAGGTTCTCAGGAGTTCCGGGAGGTTACTTCCTGCTCCCAGGATCCTTCAAACAAAGGGCGGGAGAGTGTTCTTTCAAATGACCGCTATGATCTAGCAACTCAGCGGGGAGTGCCCAGGGGAGTGCCCAGCGAGAGGCTGGCAGCAGCACGGGCAGCCCTCCTGTCCTTCGTGCACAGTCATCTTCCAACCGGTCAACACATCAGGGAAGTGCCCGCTGGTGGATTCAAAGTTGTCTTTCTGTCAGTCTCTTGTCACTTTCTAGGTCCACAAGATCAGGAGGAATTTAACGGAACTCTGACTAGTTTGTCATAAATAACGCACTGCCCACCCCCCCTCATTTCAAAAGAGTCTTGAAAATTAACTCCCTCCCTCCCAAACAGACCCTCACTGGCGCCTTGGCCCTGGAGGCGAGCCAGTGCTTTGCTGACCACATCAGCGGTGACTGTGTATTATTTTGCTCACATGTACCCTTCCTCCCAACACATACAATTCAGATGCCAGACAATGGACGGCTTGTCCCTTAACTATTGGTGGCCTTTATAGCTCTGCCTTCAGCCCATTCCCTCCTTATTCTACAAGCTTTCCTGGGCAATCCCACCTACTACTATAGTTTCAGCCACCCCAGAAGGTGCCAAACCACAAAGCAGTGTCTGCAGCCCAGACTCATCCCTAAGTTCCTGGCCCACATGGCTCCGAGAGCGCTTTGGTCCTCTCTCCGCCACCCGTCTGCTCCCAGAGACTCCCTCTCACTGAGTGGAACCCACTGGTTCACCCAAGCAGGGCCCTTCCCGCTGTCACCTGGCCCGGAGAGTTTGCTGCCTTAAAGTCTGTCACAGCTGACCCTCCTCTTCGTGTCGTGCTTCAGCCATGACCATCTCTCCTCTGGACCAGGTGATGCTCTCACTGGCCTGTCAGACACCTCCCTTTCCAGAATGCCGAGAGGAGCTCCTCAAATCGTTTGAAACTAAGTGGATGTGGTGTCATCAGCACCTTTTATCCAATCATGAGGATGTTTTGTAAGGAAAAATTATAAATGTAAGCATTTATTACATAATCAAAAGAGTTGTGATTATAATCAGGCATGATTATGTCATCCAATCAAATTAATATTTAGAGCATGATTACTCATGTTGATAATTTACCCTCAATCTTAAGATGCATGAGAAATGGTGTTGGCTTTAGTTCCTTGACACACTTCTCCTTTTATGTTCTAGGCTCCAACTTCAACAAGCCCTGTGCCTGCTCGTGACCCTTGTCCCTATGGCCCAGAGGAAAGATCTGACATCTCTATCAGACTAAACAACACAGCGTGGTTTTTAAGGTTTCTGGCTCATTAGAAGTGACCTAGTTTTAATGCCTTGGCTTCTTGCTGAAATTTTCTTAAAAGGATGTGGTGCCTTCCCTTACACACATGATCTTAAACAACAGCCATAAAGCCGGAGCAGTGACCATGGCAATAAACATTAAATCTCTGTTTGAGGCTGATTCTGAATAAGGAAAGAAATGACGATAATGTCAAAATTGACATATTTTGCCAATTCATTGATTAAAATTCTACAAGAGATTTTTACCCATGCAAAAGCCTGTCCTAGCCAAGGCTAAAGCACTAATAACTGTAGCCGTCAGCAAACCCTTTAAGCTTCAACTCAATCTAACCAACATGTCCCCTGGAACTCACTTCGCCTGCGGGCTGGCTGCACTGTGCTGACGTGTGCTTAAAAGACGAACCCTCGGTCTGCACGTCAGCGCAACTGCACAAATGTGCAGCTGGGGGTCTGCTTGAAAGTCTCCTAATATTTACAAGTGGAAAAGTTATCCTCCATCTTAACTCTCTCGGTGCTTCAGAACACTTCAAACTACCTTCTCCATGAGCACACTGCTCTTTAGTTTTCCAGAGCTGATCCAGTAGACACAGCTCATAAGCAGCAGCTAAGCAAAAGCTACATATGAACCCACTTCCTTGCAAAGTGACAGGCTGGCGCGGAAAGCTGCTGTTTTGGAAGCGATGAGCTCAATTACACCTGACAGCATGATTTCCAGAGGGATGCGTGCAGGCCCCTGTGCACGACGCGAATCGGCACTGAAGCAAGAACAGCTCATACATGCGCGGAGATGCCAGCCTCCCGTGCTGCCTAGACACCTCTTGGACAGAGTGAAGCAAGATGGTGATGATGTAAGTTTGGATTTCGGTTTTAGTCCTTTTCGAAATGAAAAGGGCGTATCAAGAAGCAGGTCCCACCCGGCCGGCATGGCTCAGTGGTTGAATGTCGACCTGGTCACAGTTTGAATCCCAGTCAGGGCACATGCCCGGGTTTCGGGCTCGATCCCCAGTGTGGAGTGTGCAGGAGGCAGCCGATCAATGATTTTCTCTCTCTCATCACTGATGTTTCTCTCTCTCTCACCTTCTCACTTCCTCTCTGAAATCAATAAAAATATATTAAAAAAAAAAAAAGCGGATCCCAGCCCCCATCAATGCAGAGATGTGGTATATGAGAACGTCTGTGATGGGCACATAAAAGGAAGAGAAAAACCCATCAATATTCCCTTTGTCAGTTACTATTCCAAAAGAAGAGCCTCATCTCATCAAATCGTGCCTCTGACCGGAGCTAAGGGAAACAGGTAGTAAGGAGGTATGGCTCTTTGTTTAATTACTAAAATGTGGCTCATTATATAAAGGCCAAAATTAAGTATAATTGTGGATTAAGTTCACTGCATGCCTAAACCAGACAGAACAGATTGGACAGAAAAATATCCATACAATGTTACGGTGAAGCTATATTAACATGGTGATTGACAGATTTAACGTAGAAAAACAATATTTGGTTAAAATCAAAATAGGACAGATTTCAAAAACTATCCTCCCAGCGTTATACTTGTTTTGAAAACTCACCATGCTTTCAGCATTGCTATTCATGCCTAAGTCTTAGCAGCAGAGCCAGACAATGTGCCTGGAATCTGTGTTTCATTAGTTTCCCCTTTTTGTTAACAAGAGTCAGGATGTGATGCACTGCTTCCCAGGACAGGTCCCTGGGCTGACGAACACGAAAAATAACACATGCCTTGCTGGGTGGGGCTTACAGACCCGGGGTGGTGGGAGTGGAGGGTGAAACCCCAGCTCCTCAGAAAACCAGGCATTTTTTCAAAGCAGGGCAACCTGACTCATGCACTTTCTTTGAAACCAGCTCAATTGCCATAGCTGTGGGCAAGCATTAGACACAGAAGACTCTCTTATATCCAAAACACATGAAAAACTGCATGACTAGCCTTTCTGTAAATATATAATACTAGAGGCCCAGTGCACAGATTCGTGCACCAATGGGGTCCCTCAGCCTGACCCAGGACCCCTCGGGGGATGTCGAACTGCCAGTGTAGGCTCGATCCCCGCTGGGCCTAAACCGGCAGTCTGACATCCCTCGAGGGATGTAGCAGTGTGTGAAGCAGCAGGCAGCTGAGGAGGAGCCTGAGCCAGCCTGCTGTGCCTGCCACCGCTGCTAGGTAGCATTGCTGTGGCGGCAGGAGAGGCTCCCACCGCCGCTGCTGCACTCGCCAGCCGTCAGCCCGGCTTCTGGCTGAGTGGCGCTCCCACTGTAGGAGTGCACTGACCACCAGGGGGCAGCTCCTGCATCGAGTGTCTGCCCCCTGGTGGTCAGTGCATGTCATAGCGACTGGTCGACCGGTCGTAACAGTCACTTAAGCTTTTATATATATAGATGGCTGGTTAATCCAGGCTAGAAGAGAAAATGTGGACCACCAGACTTTTACGTTAGGAAAAAAGGCTCCAAATTCAGCTGCTTCAGAATCACCTGGAAGCTTATTAGAAATACAGCTGCTGGAGCCCCATCCCAAACCTTAGATCAAAAACTCTGACTTTCGAAGGGCTCTCTACCCTATGTGCCCTGATAATTCCATGCCCCACAAAGCTTAAGAACTGCTGCCCTTGAGGACAATGCTGGGATGTCTTACGTTACAAACCATTCATATTTCTGATATGCATTACTCACGTGTAAACCTTAAGAACAAAATCCTTTTCTTCCTTTAATTCTGTGAGCGACTGTAGGACGTCCAGGACGCTTAGGACCGCACAGCCGTACGGTCGCCGGTAGTGCAGGTGAGCAGGGCCCTTCTTCGAGTCATTCAGGAGCATCCGGCCTAGCACACAGCACAAAACCCAGTCAGACTGAGAACTCCAGCCGCTCTCCAGCCCGACTGCCAGCCAGGGATGCCAGAGCTGCAGGCATCTTAGAGATGCTCCAAGTTGGAAGACTAACTTAGAACTAAATAAGGACGCGGGGACAGTTATGTGAGGGATGCTAACCAGGCCTGTGGCCAGGCTCTTCCCCTGCATCACATTCAACCAACCATTCTTATTACCCACGTCAACACCAAAGGGCCATTTATTAATCACGTGACAATAAAACCAAGGTTTCATGAACTTCTTGGAAAAACCAATGTGCTGATTGATTAAAATTTAGGCCTATTAAGGAAGTTCCATATTTTAGCTGCCAAAGCCACTCCTGAACCAGCACAGGAGCAAGACTGCCTCACAAAGTGGGTAAAACCTTGCTTTTCCTGCTCACGGGGGCTGAGCTACAGTGACAAGAGGACTTGCAAATGTAATACCAGAACCTCAACAAATGCTTTATCAAGTGAAGCAAAACAAAACCACAGAAAATGGCTGTTTTGTTGGCAAAGGATTCAAACACATCCTCTGACAAAATTTGCCAAAATCCAAACCTATGAAGGAAGACTTGGTTAGTCAGAGCTGCCCCGATTATGTCATATATTTGAAATAAGGCTAGGCAAACCAACCACAGAATAGTAGCAAACATCACTTTTTTCATCTTGTGTGGCACAGAAGTAAGATGCCATCCATCTGCTGCAACAAGAATAGTGACTCTAATTTTGTGGGAAATCGCGCAGATCTATACTTTGGATACAAAACACAGCAAAGGCCATTCACCACCTGTTAAGTTGGCAACCTTGGCCACCTGCTTTAAGACCTCTGTGGCAGAGGACTGACACAGAGGCAGGGCACTCTGGTAAAGAGAATGCCTACAAGCAGACCACTCGAAATAAAGGGTTTGGGTCCAAAACTAATAGGGAACAAAAACTTGTAAGTGAGCCCTGGCCAGTGTGCTCGGAGGGTTGAGCATCGTCCCAAGCACCGAGAGGCCACCAGTCAGGGCAATGCCCGGGTTGCGGCTCAATCCCCAGTAGGGGCATGCAGGAGGCAGCCGATCAATGTTTCTCTTTCTCTCCCTTCCTCTCTCTCTTGAAAAAAAATCAATGAAAACATATTTTAAAAAGATTTTATGTGAAAAAATATACTCATTTATAGCAAACTCAGCTACCATAGCAGCTGAGCTGAAGACAGAGCTCCAATACAGGCTGAGACCTGACATAACAGGGAAGAGGCGGGGAGAAGACAAAGCTCAGACATAGCGGATACTTATCCCAAGTTGGCCTGGTCTTAGTCACGGGAATGAATAAGGTGAACAGTACCTATTCGTATCACATGGGCAACTATATACAAATCTCTCTTCATATCTTTGCTGCTCAGATCCTAAGAAAAGAGAAAAAAAAGTTAATTAAGGCAACGAATACACAGAAAATAATTAAAATTTCATTTCGAACCTCATAAGGTTTACTTTGATGACTTTTAGCGCATGTGATTGGTGGGGAAGGGAGGGTCAAGCTCATCGCAGTTTAGTGCTTATACGATTCCTGCATCAATGAATGGCTCATATCTTAGAAACTTTTGGAAGTTTATTTTATTGATAACACTTTTCCAGCTCTTATGTCAAACACCTAACAAATATCTACAAGAGTTCATGATGTTGCCTAATACTACATAACATTTTGTAACAAAAGAAATGTTCAATGCACAAAAGTGGGAAAACACCAAAAAAGCTCACTAATGACTGAAATTCTAAAAGTTTATTCTTTACTACTTTACATTTATTCCACTGTCCACACATGATTATTATTGCACACTAGGTGTGCTCCCTTGAAAAAGATTAATTTGATCTTAGTGAAATCCCAATAATTTAATCTCCACTTCTAAATTTAGATATATATCATTTGTACTTGAGTATAAAGCTGAAAATAATTTCATCTGGAAAAATTTAAGGGCTTCATTAAGTAAACAAGTCTGATTCAGAATCAGAAACTTTAAGAACTAGAGTTATGAAAATAATTTCATACATTATTTATGTTTAGAAAACATTTGGAAATAAAATACTTAGGGATAGGCATTTATACTTTATTTAACACAATGCACTTGAAGTAACGTTTCAGACTTTCACCAAGTCATCAACTCACTGCTCCCTCCCAGCCGCTGTGGAGAATGAATGACTGATGGAGTGACCTCCGTCCTTATGAGACAGGCTCCCCTGATTTCCCTTTTCCTTCCAGGAAAAGGTCCCTTAGTTCCATTTCCTTCCAACCTTTCATCTTGTGATTGGTCCCAGATGCTTGTCTCTCCAATAAAGCGGGAAAAGGGACAGCCAAGTGGCAGCCATCATTTTGGATGAGCTTTGCGATCCAGAGTCCCCATGTTTGCTTTATTTTTATTTATTTTTAAATGAGGACTGCATTAACAGTTTTTAAATTAAATGTATTAAAGTGGCATTGGTTAATAGGGTCATATAGGCTTCAGGCACACATTTCTCTGATACATGATCTTATGTTGCATGTGTGCCTACCACCCAGTCATGTCATCTCTAGCACCATCTATCTGGCCCCCTTTACCCTTCACCACCCCCACCCCTTTCCTCTGGTAACCGCCAGACTGTAGTTTGTGTCTATGAGTTTCACCCTGTTGCCAGATCAGGACTAGGGTGAGGCAAAGAAGGCATCTAAGGTTCAAAACTGAAGGAGGTCTCATTCTCAGAACCCTCTGCTTTGCTCGCTGGCCCTAGTCCCAGCTCTGCCCTGAACAGTGGTTCTGAACATAGGAAAGGAAGGGAAACATGAAAAAGCATGTGTAATGGCGAAACTGAACTTTCTGATTCTAGACAGTCATAATGCTATCGTATTTTGCCAAATTCTTGATGGGATAATAAAATATGCTTGCAATGATAGAGGCTAAAACACAGTCTAACATAAACTGGTATTTCTGGAATCACAAATATATATTTTTACATGAAAGTTTTACTTGTCTTTTGGTATTAAAATGGGTGTTTCAGGCTCCATTTCACTAATTCCTTTAATTTACAAATGGATTTAAAATTATACCCTCAAAATAGTACTGTATTTTGACACTTATTAAGATGGCAACTAAATAACAAATAAAAAATGAAAAACAGATTACCATTTTTATGTGTTTCAGGGGACTGAAACATGACTATTACTGAAGGATATAGAAATAGCTGACACATTCCAAAGGGAAACGGTTCCTTCTGTATAGCCCGGATTATGTTAGTCTGAACTATCAAATGACCCTATAATTATCAACCCAATACACCCAGAGAACTAACCAGATGGGCTGTACACAACAGGACCAGGGACCTCTCCCTCGGCTCTGACTGAATAAAAGGAAGAAGCCTGAAATATAATGAATAGTATTTTCCAAGTAGGAGCTCTTTCTTACCATGTTGTACATGATACCCAGAACTCTTTATGGTATTCATTTGAGGTCAATCAATATATGATAATAATCGGCGCAAGGAAATATTTTGAGTAAAATTATTACTCGTGAGTCCCACATAATTTCAATGCCAAATTTTAATATAAAAGCTATCTTATTAAAAGTAAATGCATAGGTGTAGGGGGGGGGAAGGGTGGATAAGGTCACATATGTAATACCTTAATCAATAAAGAAAAAAATCCAAAAAAATAAAAATAAATAAAAGTAAATGCATAGTTAAACATAGTTACCACAGAGTTATTAAATGTAAACTCTTCAAAACCAAGTACCAAGTGTGGCTATCCATATTAAATACTCACAACCACCATTCAGCCAATGAGCAAGGTTTGAATTTAGATTTAGTCACTGGACCATACCCTCCAACCCCACCTCATTAGAAGCTAGTGCCCAGTTAGGGCAGTGACTCGGGGCTCAGTGTCTTAGATTCAGTTGCTAACATTCTATTTTAAATATGGGAAGCCAACTCATTTCCCTGCGCCTTTTTCAGTAGAGATCATGGGATTTACAAATATAAAACAAAGCCAATTTATTCATACTTATGCTGCAGAAAAGGAGGCAAGGTTTTAATATGTAATATCATTATACTCATAATCAAATTCATTCTTAATTCCACTACCTAAAATTCTATTTTGAAATGTGCAAGAGTATAAGTGAATGTAGCAAATATAATGCCAACTAATGCAGGGAAAGCAGTACAAGTTCATTGTCTGAGTTGGTCACTCAGATATAACAAAAAGCAAGCACATGTTCATTTAGTCACGTAAGGGATCACTATTACGGTCTCAGTATTTGTCGGGCGCTACGTGTGAGGTGCTGGGTGTCAAGTAAGGAGTAAATGCACAGACATGCCCACTCGCTCATACACACAGCCACAGCTTCCCACGAAAGCCAGCAAACCCTCCTGTATTAGACACCCACACAAACACGAAACACCTCCTTCTTGGACAAAATTGTTCCTGCACAGGAAGCTCTGAAATCTAACAAAGTCAGAAAAAGACAGGTTTTCCAGCGAACAGGGCTGTGCCGTGGATAACGTGACTGTAAGGTGGCTCTGACGGCTGCTTGAGTAACCCTGCTACCTACTCAGTGTGCATGGCCCCCTTTCCCTGACGCTAAGGCAAGTTAACAGGCCGGCATCAACCACAGCTGTGGTTGCACTTCCTTGCATTTACTCTGAGACTCTGTAGCACATCTGCCAATCTGGAAAACTCCTTTAGCCTACAGGAGGAACTCAAGAAGACAGTCCCACCAAATTATTATTTCATATAGCTTAAAGTAAAACACAAAACTCCTGGCTATGACAGCCTTGTTCAAAAATCTTATGTGCTTCGAAAAAAATTCCTCAAATCACTTTTTGGATCTTTTAAAAGAAACGCAGGGCTGCACTTCAGAGGGAATAGAGAAATGCTATTTTTAGCAGCAGCCCGGCCTCCTCACGTGGCAGCCTGAACACACATCCTGAGTGCCACGTGCACCTCTGATTTGTCAAGTTGGAGGTACAGCTGAGGCTTCTGGGCCCATATAGATCATTAAAATGCTGTGAAATGAAAATTTTGATTCACTGTAATTATATTCAAATATCATCATAATTAAGTTAATTTCTTCAAGAGACAAGGACTGCACTCATCCTATTCAAGGACAGCACATGCACATAGCTCTGCTCCCACAATGCCAAAGAGCAAGGAATCAACACTTTCTTTTGCTGCTTTAACAAAACAAAACAAAAAAAAAGATCAGAAAACCAGGATCTAGAAAAACCTCCTAAAACGATGGAGACCTTCTGGACAGAGGGGCACCTCAGCTCTCCCAGCTGTTCCAGGCGGTGCCGCAGCCCCACCTCCGAGCTCAGGCGCGCTCATGTCAGAAGCTCCCCGCCCCACCCCCCCATCCTCTAACCTAAGCCCATTCACTGCCGTTTGGACTCTTTCCCTGTCCTTCTCCTTTCCTGCGGAAGAGAGAGCACCAGCCTTCTCAGACAAAATGATCTCAACTCCCCTAACCGTCTTCATGGGTCAGCATCGCCTGCCCTCTCTCCCTGCAGTATCACCTAAGCTTTGTATGCTGAGCTCCAAGGTGGGCGAAACATCACTTAGCTGAGCCAGATTTACAAATCTCCATGCGTCTGGAGCACTTCAATAACTGCCTCCCAGAGAAGGTGGTTTCTGGTTCTGCAGTAACGTGAGCTTTTCCCTCAGAGAAGCCACGTGCCTACCCCACTCTCATGTGTGTCAGAGGCGAAATGCGAGCTGTGAGACAGCTGGGCGCCGCCCACCGAGCACGCCCCGCAGGCAGACCCCTGTGCCAGTGGGTTCTGATGTGTCGGTATCACTGGAGCAGGTCACAGAACCCACAGGAGTCGCAGCTGGTTTAGAATTCCGACAGCCTTGTTCTCTTCTTCAGCACACAATGAATCAAAGTGGGCGGCCCGTTTGTGAACTGGGTGAAAAGCCTGGGTAGCTCAGAACCAACCTGAACAGTACACAGGCGGTGTGGCGCTGTGAGGCCCAGCACTGTCCACCAAGCAGCTCCCCGAGCCTCTGAGCTAGGAGTTCGCGGGCTCAGAGACCGCAAGGCACAGCATGGCTACATGGAAAGCGCCCTGAAGTACAGGGCTCGCAGGGAAAGCCCGTTTGTATCTGAAAGAGGACTATTCAGTCTGTCTCTCTTTATATGCACGCACTGAAAACACAACAAAGCTATAAATCTGACAGATGTCTTTTGAGAAACTATATTTACACATGAGAGAAATTCCCAGTGGCCTTGAATAAGAATAGTAAGAAAGACTGTTCTCAGATTTTAAGTGTCTATTATATTAAATAGCTTATAAAATCTACATCAGTAAAGGCACTTCTTTAGTAAAAAATTCAATTAAAAACTAATTTCAGTTTCTTTAAATATTTCATTAAAACCTGATAGAAACATAAATGAAGTCCTATTCTCCCCAGTGTGTGGGGAAATAGAATAAATGCTTGTTTCTAGGGTGACAACATCCACATAGCAGGCCCCTGGTTGGAGTAACAGCAGAGAAGGGAAAGAGAATTTGCACATACTGTAAAAAGGGCACACATTCGTTCTATCTTCTCTGGGTTCCTTGGCCCACCATTCTTGTTCAGTCTCACCAGAAACCGCTCACTGAAATGTAGGAGAGAGAGACAGAGAAATGTAAGGGACTGCATGCTCCAGAACAAATAAAAGGGCGTTTACAGAGAGACGCTAAACGCTTCCAGAACAGCTCACAGCGACAGGCAGGGCCAAAAGGGCGTCTAGCGGAGAGCACTATTTTTCTCGCCAAGCAACACGCAACGGACACTACAAACTGCCTAACAGGTGCTGCTGCTTCCTTGCTTGTGGCTCTCGTCTCCCTAAAGGTGTTGCTCCCATAACTGTGGTCCCAAAACAAAAGGGTAAATAAAGCAAACTCCAGGTGGACAGAGCTGCTGGCCCTGTCAAAACCCAAGAACAACAACAACTCCCCCTCCTCCTCCCCCTCCCCCTCCCCCTCTCCTCCCCCTCCTCCCCATCCCCCTTGATGGCGAAAGGCGGCCCCCGCAGGCAGTTCCCACAGTGCTGACCTGAGCTTCACATTTCCTATCCTTTCATGCTTCTGGTTTCACCTGAGCTTCTTCACAATTTGTGAGACATTCAACATAACTGTGCGTGTGTGTGTCTGTGTGTGTGCGTGTGTCTGGGTGTGTGTGTGTGTGCGTGTGTCTGTGTGGGCGTGCGTGTGCGCGCATGTGTGTGTCTGTGTGTGCGTGTGTGTCTGTGTGTGTGCGTGTGTCTGGGTGTGTGTGTGTGTGCGTGTGTGTGTCTGTGTGTTTCATTTCAAAGGGCTTTAGGTACATATATAATTATTTCCTGTTTTGCTAGCTTCTCCAATGTAAACGATAAATAAATGATGCTCTCTGTTCACATTAAAACTATTTGAAGGCCAATGTCTATCCAATGTTTCCTGATTTGGCAACAGCTATTCTGCAGAAGGAATGGTTCAATATTGTTGGGAAATAATTCGTTAAACACACACAGGTTTCTATCCTCTAGGACTTTCAGAGGCTTATGACGTTATGTGCTTTAAGTACCAGCCATACACGTGATATCTGACCCACAACCCGCTTGTGTAAGGCAATGGAGTCTGCACAAACGCAGTTTGATAACTGCTGACTGAATATGTTTGCCAATGAGAGCTACACAAAATACTATTTCCCAAAGGTGTGGGGGAAAAACTGTGGCCAAGACAGTAAAATTTATTCATGAGATTATTTTATTTTATTTTATTGATTTTTTACAGAGAGGAAGGGAGAAGAATAGAGAGCCAGAAACATCGATGAGAGAGAAACATCGATCAGCTGCCCCCTGCACACTCCCCACTGGGGATGTGCCCGCAACCAAGGCACATGCCCTTGACTGGAATTGAACCCGGGACCCTTCAGTCCGCAGGCCGACGCTCTATCCACTGAGGCAAACCGGTCAGGCTTATTCATGAAATTTTATAAACATCCACATCTCTACATGAGGGCAACAGGTCAGTTTTTCTCTTAGAGAATCTGAGAAAAAAAGAGCTGATAAATTCTCACTCTTCAATAAGCAATGTTATAAGAGAACTGCTCTGCACTTAGTGGTCTTTATGATGTGCTATACATGAACACTACGTGAAGTTACATTAATTTCACATTATTGAGCAAGTTCTTAGAGATGAATTCCACAACCCGAATAGGTGACAAGTCTAACAGCGCCTGCATTCAGAAGCACTTGCTTTTATGAGGGTTCTAGTTCACACGCTTCTCCCGTGACGCCAACGCTGGGGGACTTCCCGGAGGGTCCAGCCTCCGCGGGCTCGGAGGCAGGCAGTCTCGGACCCCCAGGAAGGGAATGTTCTGAAGACTCCGTTTTGGAAATATGAGCCCTCTCCTCAGTAAATTCAGAGGAATTCTTTCAGCTTCTTCAGTTTAATCTCCAGTTTCTCACTGGGTCCTCTGTGGAGACAGATGCCAACTGCTTAGCATCTCTCCCACGATAGCCTTCCAGGTGCTTACAACTGGCAAGTAGCCCCAAGGCCCTACTACACGGTGCTACCCAACAGATTAGGAAATCTCCAATATTTCCTCATGGATTCATTTTCCAACTTAGCTCACTTGGCTTTATTTCTCAAGTTCTTTAAGTTCCCACTTCATTCAAAAGCAGGAAGAGCAGAAATGCATACAGGGGTTTCATGAAGGCAATGCATTGCTGTGGTTTTCAAATTTATTTTTAGTATCAGCTTTTCCCTTCTTTTCAACAAAACCTTGCACTGTTCACCAATATGTGAAAAATTTAAAAACAGAGCTACTTTGGTTGAAGCAGAGATGGAGGCAGGGAGGCAGGGGTAGGAATCCCTCCTACCTAGCCTCTCTCCTACCCACCAACCCTGAGACCCTTCAGGGCTCCAGAGAACACTTCATAACCACTAGTACAATCCAGAGGTTCTTTCTAGCTTTCCTCCTTCCTTTTTATTCTTCCAATAAGCATTCATGAACTCCTAACGTGTCACAGGGACTGAGGATCTTCTGCGCGCAGGCATTGTGGAGAGGGTTTCTCACCCTGGCTGGGTGGTTCAGTTGATTGGCGCACCATCCTGTACACCAAAAAGGTTGTGGGTTCGATTCCCAGTCAGGGCACATACCTCGGTTGCCTCCCACGCATGCCGACTGGGCCAGGGAATGAACCTGCAATCCAGGCAAGTGCCCTTGACCGGGAACCAAATCCGGGAACCTTTGGTGGGTAGGCTGATGGTCTACCACTGACCTACACCAGCTGGGACAAGAAGTGCACAGTGTTAAGCTTCCCAGCTGAAGAGCGAGCAGCCTTCGGTTCCGCAGGAAACAGCGCGATGCCCTGGAAGGCGGGAGCCACGTTAGAGCAGCGCTGCCCTCGGTGCTCGGAGCAGCTCCTTTGTCTGGTGTGGGCAGTGCACCCACCCTTGCAGATGGGTCCCTGGCCACTTCCCCAGAGTAACCCACACCTCTCAGTTCATGAATGAACAGATCAATACATGAATGAAGGCTGGAAAAAACCAACTTAGCTAAGAACTCTTTCATCAAATGTATAGAACGCTACTTAATTCACTTAACTGTACTCAGATAAATATATGCCCAAGCACTATTGCAAAAAAAAAAAAAAAGCATTTAAGAACAAATCATTGATAACTTGATCTAATTTTTCCAATTTATTTACTTTGGAAACAGGAAAGATTTAAACAAAGGCTGAAGTGTGCTTGCTTTCTAAGATCTCATGTAAAAACACTGCCTTTGCAATAATAATATAGAAAAATAAGGGTCTTTTATGAAAGATCAGACCCAACATAATCTAATAGTAGCATTTCCTAATGAGTATTCTAGTGACTGCAAAAAGATAACCTCAAAAATTCACTCTTTCACTACAAGGCTCTAATTGCACGTAAAACCTTTTTGAATGAGCAAACACCACTCTCTCTAGGAACTCAATGCATAAGACTCTCCACAGTTTTCAGTTAGGCCCTGGAACTCCTACCGGAAATGACACACACACCGAGGCTTTAAACAGGACAACAGCATCGCCAGCACCTGTGCCGCACATCAGAGTCATCAGCACTTTCTCAGGCAGCACGTCACGTGACCAGTGGGACTGTTCCACGCTCTCAGTGGGAAGGGGACCTTCCTGGGCCTGTCCCTCCCTCACACACACTTGCACCGACAGTCTTTTGTTCTGTTTCAGTATGTGAACATTCTTGTTCTTCTTCATTTCATTCCTTTTCCTGGACTGTCATACAACACACACACTCTGCTGCAGATTTGGCCTGTTGTAACTGCGTAAGTGTTCCAGGGACACCAGGAGATACATTATTGATAATTAGTAACTTGTTCTTGTTACTATTTCTGCTGCGTTTTTGTGCCTCAATGAGGCAAAGTCTTCCTGTTTGAGAGATTCCTAATGGGGAGAGCAGAGCTTATAAAAACCAAAATATACAGAGGAGAAACAGAAAAATCTTCTCTCCTGAGTGGAAGCTAGAAAAACTCAGCCAACCAGAAAACCAAAGAAATATTTAATCTGCCAGACATTTTACTAGATATTTTCTAGGCTTTTAAAGTATAAAACTGAAAAACTTGGGAATAATATCAAGGAACATAAGCAAATAAAGATTTCCTAGGTACTAAAACTTTGAAAGTATTTAAGATCTCTAATTTTTTAAAGTTTAAAATATAGGAACAATGTTCACTGCACTATGTCAAATTCTTTTTTATTCTCACTTACTATAGAAAATTGGTGATACTATTTAAAAAACAACACTACAGTAACATAGCTAGTAAGGTATCAAGACGAGATTTCAACTGAAGTCTGAATTCTCCAAAGCCTGTACTCATTCCAATTGTCTTTCACAGTATATAAACTAGAGGCCCAGTACACAAAATTCGTGCACTTGGGCGGGGGGCACCCTCAGCCCGGCCTGCGCCATCTCACAGTCCGGGAGCCCTCAAGGAGCCCGCTAAGCTGGCAGTCGGACATCCTTAGCGCTGCCGCATAGAGGCCGGAGAGGCTCCCGCCACCGCTGCTGTGCTCACCAGCCGTGAGCCGGCTTCTGGCTGAGCGCGCTCCCCCTGTGGGAGCTCACTGACCACCAGGGGGAAGCTCCTGCGTTGAGCATCTGCCCCCTGGTGGTCAGTGCGCATCATAGCACCAGTCATTCCACCGTTTGTTGGATTTGCATATTAGGGTTTTATTATATAGGATGGTGACAATAAGATGCAATATTGGTCAAAAAGAAATAAACCAATTTGAAAATAGCTACATGCTCTAAATATTATCTACCTGCAGATGTGCACAAATGGGTACATCTGAGACTACAAAGGACTCTCGTTCTTAATTTTCCTCTTTTCTTCATGTCTTTCCTTCCTCTTGATACCCTGTGCCCATGGACTCAGTTTGCTCTTTCTGCCATGGCCCTGCACAACCATCTCACCCCCTATACGCAGTCCACCAGGTCCTATGCTATGTTACACAATATGGTAGCCTCTAGCCATATGCAGCTGTTTATATCTAAATTTAATCAAAATTAAATAGAACTAGAAACTCGTGAGGGAGAGAGCATGAGGAGGCCCGCGCGTGGATTCCTCCAGCCT